GGGTGGGGGGGCGGAGGGAGGGGGAAGAACACACATTGATTAAGCGTTGAATGTCTCGATCGTTGCCTCTCGGTCACCGTAGAAGCGGATTGCGCGCCATCGATTACTTCCGGTATTATTGTTACTCGATCGCCGCGATCGATCGCCGGCCTCCGTGTGCGATCGCGCGGAGCCAGTAAGCTGCTCGCAAACAATTTTCTCTCTCATTTACGACACGCGCCACGTGATTGTCCGTCTCGCGGCGAGAACGGCCCCGGGTTCTTCAGTTTAGATTTATACTCTTATTCGAAAAGCTTTTGTACGACACACTCGGCACGCTGCTTCGGTATCTTCCTCCCTTATCTTCCCCCCCGTCTCTGTCTCGCTTTCTCTCTCGCGCGAATTGCACGCAGAACGCGAATGTACCCTCGCCATGGCGTGCGGCTTCGTCATGTGCCAATCACCGTGGTCTTCCCACCGCGTTTCGCCGGTCCTCCCGCTTCCGATTGGCCGGCGTCGCTCCGCGCGCGCATCCGAAGCCGCTTTCTCGTACCCGCCGATACGCACGGCGCGTGTTACTATTACGCCAGGCGACTACCGCCACACCACCACCACCACCACCACCATCGCCACCGCCACCACCACCACCTACCACCACCATCGTGATCGTAACGCCGTATGGCCACGGGAGACCAGCGTTACCGACGCGTCGGCGGCTGTCTCTCTCTTTCTCGTTGCTGTGTAAAACCGGAGCTACGCCGGAACATGCTTGAATGTCGGAAACTCCTGGCAAGCGCCCGCCTTCGCCGCGGCGACTCGCCGCTTTCGATGTATCGTGGAATATTATCAAGCCATTTCGAGCGCTTTCGCATCCTTCTTACGCGCGGCGATTCCGTCTGCCGGTAAATTGCACATAAATGATAAATAGCGATGGTATCCGACCACTTTGTGGAATCCTTTAGCAACATTGTTGTTTTCAGAGGTTGCTACCTACAGAGGCGAACTCCGCTCGCGGGCCGCCCTCGTTCCATCGAAATCGATAAACTTATGCTTATTGCGTTATGACTGTTTGTATTACGGGTCGTCGGGACTGGATCAAGGGCATGATTCTATACTACTCGGCGAGGGGGGAAGGGAGGGGGGGGGATTAAGGTTGCACGCGTAGGTGGACGCTTGTTGGATTCAACCGTTTCCATCATTTGTGAACTATGTCTCTTTTATGTAATGCCCGACTATTAATCGGCCTCTCTCTCTCTCGCTCTCTCGCTCACGCTCAACTTTCAGCATGCGCCGCCGGTGAAGTACGCGGGGGCAAAGTCATAGGAGAAGCCGCTCGCTTAAGCTCAAACGTTTATCGCCAAAGTGGCGATGCTCTCTCTACTACCTGTTCTTCGTGTTTTCGGCACTGTCGGATCGTTCAGTAGAGAGACGCGATTCCCTCCGCCATTTCCCTTTTCCTGTCCCACCGTATTTTAACCGGGTAGGGAAAGTCCCCACCACTTCTCTCTTTCTCTCTCTTTCTCTCTCTCTTTCCTCGCCACCGTATTTCTTGGCGGGAAGGGACCTCGTCCTCCTCGCCGGCCGGTACGCTTTTCTCTGTCCTTGTTGGTCGTCTCTCCCTCGCTGTGCCGCCGCCGGCGTCGAATTTTCTTTCCTCCTTTACGGCCCTTTGATGGTTAAAAAAAAGGACATGCTCCCTTGCACATACAGAATGGAGGACGTCGAATATAAATTTATACTCTACACATTGATGCACCGATAATGGACAGCGAATCTTTATGTATTTGTTTGTTTGTTTGTTTGTCGGATGTATCTCTATTAAGCGGCTTTTTTTTCGTGTTGCAGGAGAAGAATGAAGAGTCGAAGAAACAGAAAAAGGAAGAGAACGGAGATGGAGAAGTAGAAGAAGAGGAATTAGAAGAAGAAATCGAAGAGGAGGAGGAAGTAGACGGCGATGGGGAAGAAGATGACGACGATGACGACATACCAGAAGGAGAAGAAGATTTAGAAGAAGGCGAAGGTGAATAAGCGATTCCTCGGAATTGTATTTTTTTTTTTTTTTTTTAAGTTTCTTGAGAAGTAGTACCGTTTACTGACATATTTATCGTTACATTGCAGATGAGGAAGATGATGATGCGGAAGGTGAAGTGGAAGGAGAAGTAGAAGACGAAGAAGAGGACGCATAATGAAAAAAATATATAATTATAAAGGGAGAAGTTTAGGGGCACGTAACATCATCGTCGATTTTCGGCAAACTCAGCGAACTTACTCTCATATTGAGTGGTTGGTAATAATGTTGATATATCCATCGTGCCCAATCCGCGTTATTGGATCCTCTCTCTTCCGACCTACGATTAAAAATTACCACCTCACCGGAATTGTGGTGGGCTGACACGCATTAGATGCGGACGCAATTCTCTACTTGTCTTGGCTCTTCGCAATTCTGGTCCTCTAGCCGTCACCAAATGCTATTAGGTAGTTTGAATGATAACTATATATTCGTCCTGCGGACTCGTTGGGTTTTAATCCTATTTGCTATCTAGATTCTTATTTCGATCGTTCATTCGCACGGTTCCCAAGACGAATCTATCGTTTTATCCGAACCACCTACTAACTGGTATTTGCCGTCATTTGGCTTTCTTCGTCGGGACAATTTTATAACGAAAACTTATTTAAGATATAAAAAAAAACTATTATATTTAAATAGTGTAAAATGGACATTTAAAGGTGATTTTTTTACATTTGAAATCAAATTTACGTTTGTAGTTCGACGAATGTCTCTCACCTTGTGCGTGTGATATTGAGTTCTTCTTCTCGAATCGAAATGTGTAATTGCAGTGTCTTCACAGGAGCGCGAGGCTATCAAGCAGAATTAAGCGAATTCATACGTAAACATACGGCAAATGAATCAAGTAAATAGGCATGAATGGACATCTCTCGGCATTCAATGTATACTAAAAACGCGAAAATCCTTAAAATAGACGTAAATACCGCTTCGTGCTCCTGGTTTTGGTATAGAGACAGGAATTAAGATTAATGCAACGCTCGCGTCAGGTAGTGTGGATGAGATATATGTGACTTTAATATTGCATAATAATTATACATAGTATGTATAAAGTTATGGGATAAGAAACATTTTATTATTAACGATAATATTATGTAAACGTAATATAATGCGGAGAGAGGTTGTTACACTTTAGGCTTTTGGGCATAGATAAGGGAGAGCATCGAACAGTCAACTTGTCAAGTGTAAGGGCCCCATTACTCTTTTCGACTTATTTCGACCGATTATATCATCTTTTGTAGAGGATAAGAGTTCAATTATACATAGGTAAATATGTATTTATAACTCCAGAACTGCCGTACATGACGCGAAATTACAGAAAGCAGAATCCAATACTATATATTGTGACATTTAAGTAATAAGTACTCTCCCTATTCGAATGTTCTTATTTGATCGTAACTTTTGAGCGTTACTTTTATGTATCGTGACTTTATCTTCACTTCATTGTGGACTCATAGCAATGATTCATCGACTGTCGCAAAATGAATCGGGGCAATATTTATTTATTGTAGGTTTTTCCTATAATGTACATTTTTTTTTTCTTTTTCATATATACATCTACGGTATATATGTTTAATAATTGGAATATTAATTATCATGCATTCATCAGATTTATCAAAGCATCTGAGAATTTTTAATAATTTTCTATAATGTTGACGTTAATTTTCTATAACGATGACGTGTCACTGAACACTTGAACGATTAAATTAGGAAATTTGGCTCTTTGTGTTGGAGTCTGTGAATCATTGCGATTGGCATGTCCATATCGCTACTTATTTTCGGGAGACTGTTAGATAAAAGGGTGAAGAGACATTGCGGTTATACCATTGTACCATAGCAGCATAATAATTAAATAAAGATAACGATAATTTGAATGCGAGAAGATGTCCCACGTTTTAATGTACAAATATTTTCGAATGAGATAGTTAAATAAAACGCAGTTAGATCAGAGAAAATGAATTCGTTCTCGTAAGTAGTGTGATGGGTTTTAACATCTATATAAAAAAAAAAAAAAAAAAAAACACGAGGAGACGGCAGTGTAAAAGCTGCTCTACCCACGGACTAAAAAATCCCGCTAATATGGAAACCAAGGAGATGGAGGTTGGACCCGTATAACGTTTGATACTTACAAAAGATCTCCTTGCCGTCGGACGACTCGGCGGTGCAGAGAATGGGAGAAAAAAAAATATATAAAACACAAAGATTTGAAATACTTCTTACTAGTGTACATGTAACGCGTCCAACAGCCGATCGACCTGTCAATGTGATGCGTAGCAAGATCATAGCCATCTCCGGCAGTCTCTGTTAATCTACGGTTTTATACGCAATCCGCTGCTGTATTTTACACGTGTCCGCTTCAAGATAGTAACTTGACGATTGGCAAATTGGCAAAGGACTATCTTAAAGTACAGGTGCCTGAGCAAAATCAGTACTTTTAGCGTTTCATAGTATACTTATATACTATACATATTATAAGCATAGGTCCATTTAATTTTATTGAAATACAAATTGCCAAGCCCCGTTGGCAACACACACATTCGTGAAAAGACACTTGCGTTTTGTACTTGCGCCAAGCCTGCGGCAGAGCTACCGCCCCCCCGGTACTCTACTTCGCGCGCCCGAGTACTTGACGCGATTCGGAAAATTCGCTTAACTGGTGCTAACGGGTCTTACAATCAATCAGGCTGAATCGCCCACGTACCGTTACATCCCTACGTTCGTTAGGTAAGCATAAAAGAAGTTTAAGACATTAAAAAAAATATAAAAAAAAAAGAAGGAAATCTGGTAATGACACTTGTCTCACGTACACGAACCGGACACACATCTACATACACACACACACACATACACACACACGATTAAACATAAAAGGAAGACCCTAGGCTAAGAATTTGGTTTGTGTGTTCATAAGTCCTTGTTCAAGCTACTTTTGTACAGGATACCATCGCATCATCTCTTTCAACGTAACAGTAACCGACACACCACAGACTATATATTTCTGCCCATTCCATCAGAAAAAAAAAAAAAAAACTAAAGAAAACTTTCATTGTATTTTTAAGTAAATACATTTTGGAAAACAACATGAAGATGTTTTTTTATTCTTCACATTGTCTTGTGAAGCGAAATGTTTCTCTCCCCGCTCATACGTTACATCAGTATGCTTGCATAATGTATTGTCATCCCGATGCGAATACATTTGTGCAATACGCGGACGGTGTATATGCACTGAGAGAATGATTGTAAAGTAATATATTATACGAAAGCTGGATATATGTATATGTAAATGCCAACATTTTTACACGAGATAATCCGAGCGTTCACTGCCGACTTTTTCATGCTAAGAGTATAAGAGGAGTACCGCTGCTTATCGATCGACGTTATGTAAATATACAGCTGTAACTGTAAATATGCACTTTTTGTTGTATCTTAAACAGCATATTAAGTGATCGTAAAACGATTCGACGCAGTAAGGATCACACAATGCACGTATGTATCATTTTACTATCTTCTTAATTCATCACTGCGCATATAATTCCCACACGATGTCTGTGACGATGATTTACATCAAAGATATTTTTACGCATGACATTACTGTATAAAAGCAACAATAAAGTGGCAAGATTTATACGAAATGTGAGACTGTTGAAGCCAAAACACCGCTTGTGTATTTGTAACAACTTTATTTACACATATGGCAGATTATAAGGTACAGTTCTTAGGTGTAAGATATTGTTCTTTGTAATATATCCATCACACTACGATAATAAATTACCTGGGGTAATTATAAAAATACATTTTACATTACAGTGTCGTACTATGACTACAACATATAGCGTATATATTACTTAAATTAATAAAATTGTTCGATAGAGTAGGAAGTTGCATGTTTCCCTCTAACTGTAAATATCATCTTCAAACGAAGCTCTTGCAAAATGTAAAAAGAAACGTCTGGCCGGAGCGTTCATTAAAACTCTTCATTGTGTTGATTTCACTATCTTCTTAATGCACGCTTACTGTTATTTATAGATATAATATTCATATTATAAATGTATAGTTATATATAGACGTATAATTTTATAAAAACATAACGGTGCATAAAAGTGAAGTAACGATACATGCGTAAAAACGTGAGAAATTGCATACATATACATTAATCTAACGATTTACAGTTAGCCTGCAAACGCGCGCTTCACAAAGAGTACACTCGAACACAATCACCGACGATTATTATTGCGGAATGCAATTCCTCGTAAAGAGTATATCATACGCACGAAAAACATAAGCTAAAAACATGAACTTTGATCACAGTCGGTTATCTCAATAATTTATCTCAAACGACAACGCCTCGATCTGTAACGCCGACAAATAAATATTGTAACTCGCACTAATATCAGTTTCACATTGAATAATTCATCTTGCGTAGATAATAAGGCCGCAATATGCATGTGTCTGATTAGATAAATCCTGTTTCACATCACAAGCAACAAGATTCTCTTTTTTGTGCCCATTATCGTTTATGCATCTTTGAAATAAAAAGTAGGCATAAATGGATTTAATACGTTGAAATGAGATATAAAATAGTGAGCGCCGAAGCAAATGTACGTTTTTTCTTATACGCTCTTATTTAAACTTGGAATATTCTCTGAATTTATTCTTTGTGAGAAATAGCGCAGTTGATTCCTGAAGGCGGTGAAGAAAGCACGTGTGATGTATTGATAAAGAAGCTACACTCTGAGCTTCCCGGCTGCAGCTTCTTTATGATCCAGTATTAGCCAGTAACAGATAAGTCATTCAATCGAGTCTTCAGTTGTAATTCTCTCGATTAAGTTTGAGTGTTCGAAGAATCTCTTAGCTTATCCTTCTGATGCGCTCAATCATGTTGTTTCTCTCTTTGCTCACTGCTCGCTTCGGGTTAAAGTCAGCAAAAATTAATCTTTACTGTAATATAAAAATTCACAGCTGCATAAACGACATTTGTGCACTATCGTATATATAATTTATAAAGTAAAATACTTGTGTGCTCACTTATACAGAGATAGATATGGATAATCCGGAGAGATTTGCGGACAGGTTTGCTTCGAAATCTGTGAGATCGGCTGAATTAACATTCACATCGAAATCGTCTAAAATGTCCGAGATTTCGGCAGAGCCTGGAAGATTCGCACAGAACAGTATGAATAATCAATTGCATGAACTGTATAAATATTTTAAATTATACAATATCTAGAAAAATTCACCAAAAATGTTTCCCAGCTCCACTGCCCGATTTTCCGGCGTCACTCTGGTCAAGTTTCGTTCCAGCTGGTGCGACTGATCTGATACGTATTCAATTGATTGCAGGTGCGTTGTTGCCGGTGTGTTTGGCTGCGGCATCATTGGATGAATAATTGATTGATGCTGCTGCTGGATGGGAGATAATGTGCAGAAGTTGCTCCAGTCGACGTCCATAGGAGACGGTGTTCGTTCTGGAGATGCTCGAGGTCTGAAATAGCACAAGTCGATAAGTATAGATATTCGAAATTTTATCTGTATTAATCTCGAACTGTTAATTTACCTTAGTGTTTGCAGGCCGAATTCTGAGTTCTCTAATCTTAGAAAAGAACTCTCTGCACTTGTACTGGGGCCGCCGATTGGCAATAATCGGTCGGGTGAATAGGCTTCGAAGAAAGACTGATCTGTCAGTTTTGACGTTTCCACAAGAATATGTAATTGGTGTACGTATTTTTTATTATTTGAGAAAAAAATAAACCTCTTCAGGCAAGCATGACGTGGCAATAAAATTAGCGACAAACATGCATTAAGAATAGATGAGAAAATTCTCAATGATAAAGCGTGATTTGTCGCATACACATGCAATTTTACATATTTTCACCTCAAGCTGAATTCTGAAAAAAAGTTATTTTTTTACACTACGTAAACAAATCTAGTCTAATTGAATCGTGAAAAATTTGTACATCAACATTGTTGTATCATACTTGAGTCTGCGACACTTGTCAGAGTAAATTTTTATCTGAAACTAATTGCACGGGAGCCGAGAATAAATAGACATACTTCTTTTTGCATCACGAAATGGCTAAACGTATATAGATGTATTACCATATTTAATTTGTACAACATATAAATATATTTATCTGTCATTGCGAAGGAAGCAGCTTATAAAAATTATATTACCATACATTTGCTGTATGTGCGTTCATATATATATATATATATATATATATATTGCTGTATTTCTCAAGTATATTATTGCACAAGAGCAGCGCACTCGCGTCGTGCAAAACTTTATCTTCTAAATACTTATTGTCACGCATTGACTAGAGATAATTATTACATCGAACTTCTTTCCCGTAAGACACAAAGATGCATACTTTCTACGCGAAATCATCACCGTGTAAATATCTGTGTAAATAGAAAAATAGAATATCTCAAATACAAAATTCAAGTATAAAATACATATTTAAAAAAGTACAAAACAAGATTCCTTATTAATATATGAAAATATATGCGCAAATGCTTTTATAATGAAATAGTTGATAATCGATAAGCTTCCCTTTGCACTATGAAAATTGCTCAATAATTTTTCTTTTTTAAATTTGCTGAAATATCAAAGCAAAATTGTATGCTCAATGCATAAAGCTTGTATAAAGAAAGTTTTCAAAACCGCATATTGTATCTTCAAGATGTAAAGAGATTGAATTAATTAGGTGTTTAATGTATGATGAGTTAAGAACAATCGAATATGACTGACTGCTTAAAAGGTTACATAGTAATTTGTACAAATATTGCAGCTATATACAGCTTTGCATGTACCGGTATTAAAGTTTCCTTAACAAATTTACGATATCTGTCATAACAAATATACCAAATAAGCCTGCTAAAAGTGCATAAAAATTTTCACAAATTTTATCGTACACTTTTCCTTCCACACAGAGTGTACAGGAAATATTATCCTTGTTATTCTTGTAATTTAAGACGGCATTTCTCGCGGTGTTGTCCACATTCTGTGCATAATTCATCATCGCCTTTAAACCGTTACACAAGTTAACGATATTTTACACTGTAACAAGTTCAAGCATTCAAAGCATGTAATGCAGAGATTTTGTTGTTCGATCTTTTCGCGTCAAATTCGTTATTATTGAACTCGTCGATGTTACGAGGAAACTTTGAAACTGCTGCACTGATAAGAAGATTCTCCGTAGAGAAGTAAATCTTTGCAATCTGCCTTCTTTCTCGCGAAAGCTTTCAGCAAAGACCGGAAAGCAGGTTTACCTGAACCGAGAGGTAACATCTGAAACGGTCGCGGTTCGCTCGTAGCATTATCCGATGGCCTTTGCAGCTGGATGTATATCTGCACCGGACGTATTACCACTTCCCGTGAGTGATATTTTGGTGTTTTGAATGCAATAGCCACCTACAAAGAACAACGTTGTCATGATCATAAAGCGTGTTCCCATTTTCAGAGCGTTGTATAATTATTTGTTCATTACTTATACTTATTATATTTTACTGACTGACTTTACCAATAGAATTTGCTAGTTAATTAATTAATCGAACAATTATACTCACTTGTCTATGTACATACTGGACATTACCGAATCCTTTCCAAATCAATTTTTCGTCCCTCTTCTCGAAAAATATCACTTTTATATCTTCCTTGACAACTTTATCACAAAGTAAAACCATATCCAGCCCACCAGCAACCGATGCGCTACAATGACTCAGTTTACAAATTACAAGATCTGGCATTACGGTCCCTGGAACATATATATTGTAAGTAAAAATTTTATCTTAAACGCAAGAAATATTCCGAAATAATACGTAATATATTTTTATGATAAACGTACTTGAATTATAAATAGGATCAGACACAATAGGCTGTAATGGTTTGTTAAATTTTCCTTTCTGCGAGCCTTCCAAGAATACTTGGAAACATAATCTCACCACACTGAGATCTATATTATTAGGATGTTTGAAGCCAGCTGCAATGATTAAAATCTTCATAATCGGTTGATCCAAATTGGCAGAGAATTAGGAAGCAAAATTACATACTTCCAAACGGGTCCACTCGTAATTCCTGACGCTCTTTGAGAGCATTTTTGATGCCCATTCTTGTTACACATTGAATGCTTAGATTCGAGAAAGTCACAACCATGTTACCTGCCGGAACTTCTACTGTACAAACACCCTGCTGGCATACTTTCTTGTTGATAAGATTGTGAGGGTGAGGTCTGTATGGTGCATCCTTTGTCACACAGGACACAAGCACCATAGCACATCCTTTACAGCCCACAATCTACAGGAAAAGAAATATAGTGTTAGTATACAGAAAGACTTGCGAAAAGTTGCTGAACGTAACTGTGACTCACTCGTATACTAGGATAGATTTTGTTTCTTGATGTATAGTTGACTCCAGGAATGCTACCAGCTGGGCCTTCAGACTCATAGCGAAATCGAAACTTACTGGTAGGCTGCTCTAAAATCTGAACATACTGTTGAACATGTTTGCCGTTCATCGCTATAGTGGCCGTAGGAACAGGATCTGTGGTTCGAATGGCATCAATTGAAAGCAATATTCGTTAGACAAGCTATGTCGCATATCAAGACACTCAAATATACATCGGATACTTATTAATATCACTTATATTAATATTTCCATCGCTCATACCATTGCACTGTTCCATGACTGTATATATTTGGTTTATATATTGTGCTTCATCCATCTGTAAAATATAACGACACGAACGAAGTGAAAAAGAAGGAAACAAGAGATCGCGTGCTGCACAAAACTTACTGAGAGAAACTGGAGATGCTTTTGGACTTAGCACTGCTTACTCTCGCACTGTGTGCGACGTGTTGTCCGTGTCAACGGAATCGTGACGGCGACGAAGAAAAAGAGCAGCGAAGCGATCCTGTACAAGGTCCTTTCCTTGCGATGCAGGCGAGCAGGCAGAAAAAACAGCCGCAGGCGGCCTCGCTACACAGAAATTACGTGCTTTTGTTACAACGTGCTATTGCTGATGTCACGCGCGATTACGTTCGACGATTCTGCGAGTGTCAACTAACTCAGACTGATTGGCTCTGGCCGACGTACCGGAGCAGTGTTACAATGTTTATCATCTGCCATTCTTGTCGGCAGTTTCCACGCACACAATCGAAGCGGCCGTGTACACGTGCTGCGCAGAGCGTTTTGCGCGCTCGGCGCGTTCTTCGGGAATTCCACCGATAAGATGCTCGTAAGGTCGGGCAACTTAGTTATATCTCGACCAATTTACGTTAACACATTGTTGACCACGAGTATACTCGTGTTTTCGTACACAAGCGTTGTTGACCGGCCACGAGTATACTTGTATTTTATTCCGGCTATTTATAAAAATAGCCGGTGACACACGTCAGTTTTTGCATAAAATTGCCGGTCAACAGTGTGTTAAAACATTTATAAGTGACGTAAAGTTCTACGCATAATAGAGAAAATATTAGGAAGAACAATTTGGAATTATTTTATTTCATACAAAGAAATGGATTATTTCTAATTTTTATTTCCTAATTCATTAAGCGTTAATCCATTTCATTTTCTTACTTTGAAATGAAATAATTTCAAATTCCTATTCCTAATGCTTAATATTTATTTCTATTTTTAATACGCTTTCTATTGTCTGTGGGGACTTCCGTCACTTATAAAATATTAAAGCAAACTGGATATAACAGGATATGATTGATCTGTTGCTCTCCATCCTATAATAAGCACTTTAATCGATAGAAATCCCGCAATATGCGTAGTAACAGAACGGGTCGCATCTGCGAGCGATCACGCGATTTTAGTTTTACGATCCTTTCCTCAAACGTGAATTCCTCAAAAATGGTAACAGGTACAAATTTCTTTCCCATCTCATTCAATAGGACTTTTCAAGACCTTTGAACGAGACCTATGTTTGCCTACCAACGTTGCAACAATGTCCTCTTGTTCTCAGCCGTCCGTTGCCTTTTACATTGTTTCGCTCTGTTTCTCTCTTCATTTTTCAGACGCTTGCGACTACCTGCCGCTTGTGATGGAGCATTCAGGGAAAAGAATGTACCATTCAAATCTACAAAAATAAAATCGTGTTAATAATTTAGTCATAAACATAGTGTAAATACTAGATAAAATTTTTTTAATGAGATATAAATTAATATATGTACATATATGTGCATAGAGGATATTGTATTTTGTAAAGATAACAGTCTTTTGAAAATACTTGAAATCTACAATAGAGAAAATAGATGCTTATAAATGTTTGAATTCTGCACAATTCTTGCTTTTTATATTCCTAATTTTATTTAGATTAATCTTTTAATTTTTAATGCTATTGATTTACCTATGCATTTGTCTTTTTCCATATAATTGTCCTACAGATTGTAAAGTAAAATTCCTGAAATTTGTACTCAAATTTCTGAATGGCAATATCTCTGGTCACCATCATTGTCAATATTAAAACTGATAGCAGCATCTGCAATATGATGCAGTAATATATACATATAATATAGACATATAAATATTTATTTTGATATATATTAAACTATACAAATAAATTAAATATAAAATAAAGAAATAACAAAATTTACATTTTTTATTAAAATATAAAGTATTCTTATATGATTCAATAGTTTATTTAATTTCTTTTCTCTTTCTTTTTTTGAACAGTACGTGTTATGTTAGACTCTTAGTCTTAGCTTTATGACTAATTTGCTATTGATAAGAAGTAATTATGATGAAATCTACATTCATTTCCTTGATTACTTACTTGATTTGTTGCTACTTCTGACTAATACCTAAATATAAACTTGGTTGCTTGATTTCGTTCTTTATTGTTTATTTCTACAGAGACACAAAAATTAATCTTTTTAAACATTCTAAACATTATAATAATAATGTGTAATTGTATAAAAATACTTGATGTATAAAATGCAAGACATATGCAACTTGTGTGTAAAATATTGGCATAAATATTAAAAACAGAAGCACTTACTTGCATGCTGCCTGAACTATAATATTGATAAAATATTTTTGCAGCTCATGCAAAATACTCGTTGTTTGTATAACAGTGGCAAAAGACAACAATTTTATCAAAACTTTATCTTGCAATACAAGACGTCGTGGCGAGTACGATGGAAGAAATAGCGAAACATCTTTCTACACATGAATTAACCGCGACTCATTTTCGCGATGCAATCGTCGCTTCATTATTCTCTTCGCTAAAATCGTCAACATTCAAGCAATATTAATTAACAAACAAGAACAGGCGGCCACAGTAATGCCAAAACGTAGACGCGATCCCGCGTAGACCATAATAGCAGGAATAACACGCAATCAAGGACCGTATATGTTTGCTCTACGTTACAGCCGTTTGGTCTCAGATAGTAGAAGAGAAGAGTAGATATTCCGTTTTCTTCCTCATTTTCATCAAACCGATAATCGTTATTGATCGCTATTGATTTTCATCAATAACGAAAATGACGTTCGCTATTTTTCTTCGATTAACGCGTTGAAGATGAAAATTCGGATCTTTATAAATATTTAATTATTACTTTACTTCTAATTAATTTTTACAATTTTATTAACATTAATAAATTTTAAGAAAATAAAACGAAGCGATAAAAACCATTTCAGAATTGTATAAGCACTTTAATGCTGTGAGAACTAATTGAGATATAATTAAATATCGTATAATTATCTAATCGAAGCTAGAAACTCAACTTTTTTAATATTTAATTAATAAATTATTAATAATTTGCATTTTCAATTTTACAACACAAAAGACACCTTCCAGAAATCTTGAAAAAGGTGTATAAATTATTTAAGAATTTTATCAGCACTCTAACATCGTTAAAAGTAACCTAGAAGTGAAAATAAGTATGCAAAGAAAGTAAGATTACCCGTTGAAACGGCCCGAAACGCTCCATTTTAGCTGGGATTTTACAAATTTGCTACCAGGAACGCATGATAATATAAGAGCTCTCTCGAATAGACGGAGGTGTGTCCTAGCAGTCCCAGAGCTCGGCAGAGGAGAGCTAAGTAGTGGGGAGCTCTCTTTGGATTGGCTGTTACCTTGCATGGCTGCCATATGAAGGAGTGACTACCGCCGATTCGGGGCCTCTGTTAATTGGCTGTTGTCGTGGAAGCCATTACATAGCAGCCACGGCAACAGCCAATCAAAAGAGACCCCGAGTCAGCGGTAGTCACTCCTCTATATGGCAGCCATGCAAGGTAATAGCCAATCCAAAGAGGGCTCCCCACTACCTAGCTCCCCTCTGCCGAGCTCTGGGACCGCTAGGACACACCTCCGTCTATTCGAGAGAGCTCTTATATTATCATGCGTTCCTGGTAGCAAATTCGTAAAATCCCAGCTAAAATGGAAGCGTTTCAGGTCGTTCCAACGAGTAATCTTAACCTCTCTACGTGCTTATTTTCGTTTCTAGATTACTTTTGACAATATTAGGATACTAATAAAATTCTGAAATAATTCATAAGTCTTTTTTAAGATTTTTGGAAGATTTTTTTGTAAAATAAATTATAATAAAATAAATTGTAATAAAATTTTTTGTCGTAAAATAAAATTTAAAATACGCGTCGCGTAATACATTCATATCCAGCACCGCGCGAATCTCGCCAATCGTTGACGCACATTGACAAGTGACAGTTGGTGATAGTTTGCCGCTTTTGGCGAAGTGAAAGGATCGTGAATCGCGAATCAAATCGCTTTATTCGCGAACGATCTCGCGTTTGTATAACATAACGGCGCGTGCATCATAAGAATTCGTGTGCATTTCACGCAATTGCATTCGACAAAGTAAAAGTGCGCGCGCGCTGTGCGAGATGCGTAACGCGGGTGTGCGAATTGTATCTGCGGCTTGATTAGCGCCCGTCTCTTCGTCTTTTTCCTTGCTCCGAAAAACTGGTGGGAAAACGAACAGCACGGACGACGTAGAACGAGCAGTTCAGGCGGATCCGCAAAGTGAGGTTCACCGAAAAATGACCTGACGAAGAGGTGAGACCATCACAAGCAGCAAGAAAATCCTATTTGCGATCGATGCCTATGCAAATCGCATTTCGGAACAGCCTCGGTTTGAGTACGGATCTATTTTTTTCAACGGCATTATACAACGTAGTTATCTTACGAGGAGAGATTCAGAGGAGAAAAGGTTCTAAGAAAGGTATAGCTAAAAGAAACGAATCTCGTGTTGATTGCCGTCAAAAATCAATCAATTTTTTTTTATTTTACTCAAGATGAACCGAAGTGATAGGCAAATGCGCACAATTAGCGCACTCTGGGTGTGTTCCGTGCTTTTAAGGTTATGTCACGCGCGATGGACTGACAGCCAGTGTTCTCATTCACTTGGATTTTTCAGGGATACGAGAGCACGCGTCCAGCGAGAAGCCGATAACATGATACGCCCTTTCTTCGAGGAAGAGGATGCCTTGTGTTACTGGGTTGTCGGCGGCGCCCTGCTGTCGTTCCTCGGCCTCACCGCAGCCTGCATCTGCAGCTGTCGGCGGAACGAAAATAAGTGAGCGCCAAAGAGAGATCTGATTGTGATTTAATGTGATAGCTTTGAGATTTAACATCACTTAGTACAATCTTAAATTTAAGATAGATTTTGATGCTGTTAATAATTTCTTGCATTATTATGATTATTAGTTATTAGGACAATAGTTTTGTTTTTAATATTGTCGTTGTTGTGTAAATTGAAATTGTGTTTTATGATAATTGATAGATTTTGATTTTTCTGCATTGCATGCATATGTCAAATCATTTTTTTATTGATGCATTTTATTGTGAATTGTGGATTATAATGCAGTCACTTTTTTACATTATGTTTGTTGTACATTTGTAATCATATTATGACAGGAATGAATTTCTGGGACTCGCTGGTATGGTAACACTGAATAATTCCGAAACAGATGGTTTCAACAGAATTCCAACATTGGATGTAGCCCAAGTTGTTACACAGGATGCCAGCGATGGTGGAAAAAGGTTTCTACCTCAAAAGTGACTTGGCTGCATGCAATCTTATCTAACAAATATATATTTTAAGCCCAATTACTCCCTTGAGCATTCTGGATAATTTGTTGCTGCTACTATTGCTTTAAATACTATGGGCACATGCTTGTCTCTATTGAAAAAGTGTTTTTAAACCAGAAACAATTACTCATACAAAACTGTAGAAAATTGATTGAGTGATCAATTATTTTATTTGATTATATAAATTTTTAATACGGATTAATCACTTTATCTTGTAATTTTGCAGTAATTTATATTATAATTTATTTTTATAATCTATATTATTTTTTAACTACTTGTAACAATCTCATTTTACTCAAATATAACTAATGCTACATTGCCCTGCAGCATGTAAATAATATCCAAAATATTTTAATATTATCCAATTAACTCTAAAATTTTCCATACACATATCTTTTTTACAATTAATTTCAAAATGTGTATCATTTAACATACATTTTTACATTACACATTTTATATCAAATATTAGTAAGAACATTAATTAATCTAATTACCATTAATATTAATTGGAATATGATTCATGTACAAAAATATCCTGGTATGTCATATAACATGTCGCAAACATACTAACCTTGTAATTTAATATCATCTACTAACTTATCTTGCTGATATACATTTTTCTTTTATCGAAGATTTTATTTATACAGGACTACAAGTGCCAACAGAAGTCTTCCAGATATACCCAAAGACAAGAGCAGAGAACATGAGGATTTGGTGGATTCAGTAGCTCAAGATATTTATGAGACCACTGAGCCTATGGGAGATCATTCAGAACTGTATGCTACAGTTCAGGATGCAGGTAACGTTACTACATAAAGTACTAGAAATATAATAAAAGTAGTTTATTTTATTTCATTTTTCATGACTTTTCAGCGCAGGAACAGATATCTGACAGGGAAGGACACCCGGAAGTCACTCAGCAAGGTTCTTTGACGCAAGACACATCTCATCAATATGCGAGATTCGCATCTCCTATCTCTGACAATGGTAAGTAAATCGTTAAAAAAATTTGGGCGCGATTAGGCGTTCTTTGGCTATTGAGAATATTGAAGGACGCCTGATTGCGTTCAAATTTTTATTTGCTTTTAGGAATTATTTGGGTAAAATTTTATGTTCTTTTGCGCGTTGCGAAGTAATTAATAAAGTGTTTGTATTTTAGTTGAACATCCTTATGCACAACTTCAGAACATTCAGAAGACTGAGACTAGTCAAGTAAATAGGTACTGTCCCTCGATAATTTCTATTTTATCTCTCACAGAGAATACTTACGTAGTATATTTATTTCTCTGTGTCCGTTTTGCAGAAGTAGTGTTAACCAAATCGCAAACATCGAAAAACCGTCAACATCGATGGGTCAACCGAGCGGAAATCCGATCGCACCGCCGAGAACCCGTCGCTCGTCCTCGTACAACTCGCTTCTCAACTCAGAGTCGCATTGCGACATCCAAGCTGCCAACGCTATCTCCGGTGGTGTGCAGGCCAATCAAGATTTGCCGTATATGACACCACCGCTCGTAATGCTACTGCCGCACCCACCGCAGCATCAGCCCAGCAGCTCGCAACAGCACTTCAGCGGAGACTCCCAAGATTCGAGTAATTGTTTCGTTCTTTCGTCTCTTTACGAAATACATTTATCGAATAGCGAATAACGGCTTGCATTGTTGTTTCTTTGAATGTAGAAGGATACACGAGCATAAGTGTGAGGGAACCGTTAGCCAATATAATCGCACAGACCAAAGCAGCCTACAGACAGAATCAATCCGCTCGACCGATCACCGATCCCCATTATGCCACCGTTTCTGACGATTCAGGTGAATAAACGTCAAACATCGTAATTGAGTATACGAAAGGCTCACACACAATTTGTCGTTGCACAGATGAAATGTACGCCGCGATCGACGAGCAGGATAAAATATATACCAGCGGCAGCGAGACCTACGCGCAGATTCAACCGATGACATCAGAAGTACAAAGGCCAGCGCAACACGAGCAGACTGTGTTCTGCCAGCCTCCTTCACGCGCGGAGGAGATGCATCCCGCGCCACAGCCGCCCAGCGTTGACAGTCTGCGTCATGTTGCGCATGCCCATTCTAGACAAGGTAACAAATTTTACCATTCTTTAAAATTATTAATCGTTTCGAATAAGTTCTGATTGTCGAATACGATTTCCAGCATCATCGTCGAGTGCCAATAGTTCTATTATCAATCCCGGCTCACCCAAGCCCGAGAAACGCCAAGCAAATTCCCCGCTGCCGCCGCCGCCCGAAGCGACCGCGGAGGGCTACGCGTCCGTCGACAAGAGGGGCAAGGGCGACGACAGGTCGAGATCCTCGCTGTCGGTGGGTAAGTCACTCGAGGATATGTATGCGAAGGTGATGAAGAAGAAGAGGGAGGTGGAGGAACAGCAGAAGGGAGTGGACGACGCGCATCCGCCGAGCTCCAACACCTTGCATCCCGATGCGAACGCTTGTCGGAAGCTGAGCCTAATTGAGATCAGCCGGGCGTCGTGGTGCAGTCACGAATCCGTGGAAATACAGAAGAAGGAGCCCGACGCCGCGCATCACCCGGCGGCGAGCGGCGCAGTCGCGAGCAACTTTCACGACGAGAACGACACCGGCGGCATCTCGAGGCTGTTGCCGAAAGCAGACGCGGACGCTCTCCTGCCGCGCTTAGAACTCGATCACGGATACGAGGCCGTTAATTCCGGCAGCGGGAAGCGGAACTCCGCGACGAGAGGCGCCGCGAACACGTCCGATCCGAATTACGAGATGCTGCGCCCGCAGTGCTCGCGCGAGGACGATTATCCGAGCGACTCCACATCGGCGCGGAGCAGCACGGACGCGTACTCGGTGCCGTTCAAGCATAGGCAGGTGAGCAACGCGAGCAGCGAGGACCCCGGTTACGAGAAGGTGCGACTGCGACGGCGCATCGAGCTGGATCAGGACACGGACTCCGAGCCGAACTACGAAAGCATGCCGCACGATCCGGGCGAGCCGAACTACGCGTCCGTCTGCCGGCCCGGCGACAGCGACACGGATCCGAATTACGAGTCCGTGAACCACGGCGATCCGAACTACGAGAGCGTGAAATACATGAGCGTGATGCGGAGCGAGGAACCGCCCTACGAGCAGGTGAACAACTTCCCGCCGGACGTGAACACCGACGGCTACGAGAAGGTGAAGGTGAAGAAGACGACGAACGCTGATTACGAGAGGATAAATCCGAACAATTCGACGGAACGGATCAGCAACGGTGGCGACACCGACGACGAGCAGTACGTTCAGGTGTAACGTTTTCCGACGGGGCGCAACGACGTAACGATCGAACTGTTTGCCGCCCCTGCAGTACAATCTCAAGCTCGCGCCAAGTCGAGGAAATTCGACCTCGCGACGCGACGAGCGGCCTGTAGTGTAAGAGAAACGCGCGACAAGTTTCGTCGATATCAGTACGATAATGAGGACAAGACTGACGAAGACAGACAGTGAGAGTAAGCTTATGGATAAGGAGAGAGAGAGAGAGGTCCGTGTATTATTTTTTCAATTGCAAACGGACGCATTCGGCATTAGGCAATACGGCAGTAGGAGCCGTAATTCGAGCAGTTACCGCTAAACGAGTCAAAACGAATGCTTCTAACGTGAAAGTGTTTGATTAGTATTATATTCGGGATGTCGTCCGTGCGAACTGAAGCTTAAAAAGGAGCTATTATTGTCTGTCTTTAATAAACAAATTCGAGCATTTACACCGTAAACTAGGACGCCGCGTAGCGACACTATTTGACGATGCAATTAAAGTAACGCTTCTTGAACATAAATCCAGCTGATACAGTTAAGAATGGCATGTAACGCATATTTATTTTTATTCTCTCACTGAAAGCAACGAGTTATTTTTTTTACAAATTGTACCATTTTTCGGAGAAACACGCTCATTGGTTTCGTTTACACTTTTTAATGTGTATGTATTTACGACTGATAACTCGTACACAACGTGTACGAATAAAAATATATTTTAGAGAGCTATTATTTATTACGATGTCATTTATGCAAAGTGCTGTATCAGCCAATATCATGCTGTACTATTATTATCTTTATTACTATTATTGAATTTCTATTTCTCAAAATCAATATAACAAATAATAGAGAAGATATAGATTGAAATTAATGATAAAGATGGCAATAAGAGTCAGATACGCTCCGAATTTAAATTGGAGCGTTAAAGTAATAAACTATTATATAATATAATATTGTATACGTATATCATAATTAATATATATATAGTACAGTAATATAATTTACAATTATACAAATATGTATATATAATAGCTTATTGTTCTTATTGCCTCTTTTATCATTTTGCCTTTAAAGAACCATATTTGTATTAACCAAGTATAAATTAAAATTGTAATCAAAGCTGTCATATGTATCGCACAAGAAAATGATTAATATTATAAATTTATTTTTAATATCAGCTGGTCTGCTATTTTTTTTTTATTAATTATCATAGAATGTATTATTTATATATTATATATATTATATATATATATATTATATATTATATATGTATATATATATATAGTATCTAACAACGTAATTGAATTTAGATATTTTATTTCTAGCGTTGGTTTTTACTTGCCAAAATACTATGTATTACGATATCAAACGTAATGCGATATGTATTTGTCATATGTATACGAATATTAATTGAGTACATTTTATGATATTTTTTACTAATTTCATAGCGACGTAATTTTATCATTATTGAAGAGAAAACACATTAAGAAAAGAAAATTTAAAGCGATATGCAATAAAGCTGCAAAATTATATTTCTAATTTTGACGAATATAGAAATTGATATTGAATCTTTATATAAAAAGTACGAAATAATATAAGTGGTTATAGCTTTTCTTTTTTTTCGCTCTTTCTTCTTGTATAAAGAAAGCTGCTTATTTTTTTTGAAGAACAATTGAACGAAAGAACAAATATTTACGCCTAATAATTAATAAATAGATGAGTTATATATTTAACTAAGTTATTAAGAAATTCGAGTCTTAATACAAATGTTGAAGTATCAATCATGACAAGTTATCATTTAACGAGGAAACATGGAAATATCTAAAAGAATAAAAAAAAAAACCAACATTAAGATTATAGAAACAAAGATTTAAAAGCAGCACGATAATTTTCTTATATTATTTATTAGTTATTTATCGTCGAATTATATTCCAAACACGCAATTAAGAACGTCCATTTTCGATATCATCTTAAAATGAGAATAGAAATATACTGCATAAGTGAGTGTTTACTATTCATTTCACAAAAGTATTTCAAAAAAACAATATTGTTTTATATAAATGAATTGGACAAATCTCTTTAGCTTTAATTTTTGTGAACATTTTTAAATTTCAAAAATGATAAATTTTGTCTACTGAAAAATGACATTTTTGAAGAAAATAAAATAAGACGCTTCTATATGTTTCCTTATACAAGTAATACATTACAACGAATTATGTTTTGTATAATTTTTTTTATACGATTATAAGCATGTTTAGAAACAATTTGGAATAATTTTTCCGCTTGCTTTTGCTTAGAAAACAAGCGAAACGTTTTCGAGATATATTGTCAAGCTACAATTCCTAAACAATGTAGATATACTCTGTATATAGTAGAGTTCCTTTTATACATTGTTAAAGATAATACTACGTGTACATAAAGGCCCTATTTTAATGATGCAGTTATCAAAATCAATGAAAAATTTTTCGTCTAACACACCATCCACCTAATATAATTTTTTAAGTATAAATTTCTTAAAAACATGCGACATTACCGCTGAGAAAATTCAAAGCTCAAAATTTAATTACAGCTGTATGTATATATTTCTTTGTATTTTTATGAAATTCAAAAACTTTTGTACAATAAAAACCGTTTTTAGAAATGTTTGTTTCATTCAAGCATCAATCTCTCTGAGCGAGCTACATTGCATTATTAACTTTAAGTAAAGCAATAAAAAATACAAAACAAGGTAATATATTCATTCCTGGATGCAGTTTTTAAATCTGCAAATTTAAATTGCAAAAATGTATATTTCCATAAATCGGCATGAAGAGAAAATTATAATCAAATTAAAGACACAAGTTTGCATTGCAAAAAATGCAATTGCAAGAATCTCAAGTCTCCGAAATTGTAAAAATGTAATGTTGATTTTACGATTTTCTGTCATATTAGGGCTGCAAACAAAGTAACGAGTGATTTTATTAAAAAAATGTATTCTCGTTCACATCGTAGACACCACATTGACAATTCGTGCGTTATGGTCTCTAGATCGGTTAACAATATGTAAATATATATAGTTACTACTTACATTAATTACATTATCTTGCGTTAAAATTGTTCGTACATAACGCTATCCTTACGGAGAGTGATTACAGATTCATTTCGATGATCTCGTCCGTCACGTCGGAAGTCTTTCTCTATCGATCGTCCTTCGTTAGACACACGTGTTTTCACGTTTCCCCATTTATTCTCCTCCCTTCCGTTTCTTTTTTTTTTTTTAACGTACTCGATGCGCGAGTCTGGTAATGCTAAGGTTCGCTTGGGTGACTTACGTTTATAAAAATGGACTGGTCTGGGATAACCGGAGTGTCGGCACGCCTTAGAATAAATTTATTTAGCGTGTACAAGCGATTTGTACACGGATTTAATACCTTTCCGCGGCTGTTCCAGTCGCGCGGAAAGGGAGTCGTGTAAGAAGAATCCCTTCGCATCGACGATGACCGCTGCGTAGTGTGTACGCAGTATATTGCTGTCGCTCAAAGGGTGGTCCTACGGAGCGCCGCGAAAAGAAAGGAAATACGATGATGTCGGTAGCAGTTTATACCCGGAGTTTTAATGTACATGTTATATACTGATTAGTATAATTAATTAAAACTATATTATATCGACGCGCATGTATCAATTAGAATTATCAATATTTTATTATTATTATTATTATTATATGTTATCAATGTCGTGTGGTTTTATCATTTATTATTATTATTATTGTACTCCTACGTAGAACTTACATATGGAACTTGTCAAGCTAAAAAGAATACTCGTTCTATAAAAATAGGTCCGGCCGCGAAGCTGTCAATGAAGAGTTACGGCGAGCATACAGCATGTCGTCCGATAAAAGGGATGAACGCTCTATGATACGTTTACGCGCATCGCTCGTACCGCGACATAATTAATCCTCGCGCATAGTAAATCAGAAGAAAGAAGTGGATCCATTGACATTTCGCGAAAATCGCAGGTATTGGCAACTGAGAAATGAAACGTTTATTCAGCTTCCTATGCAATGTTCAGCTACAACACTCAATGCTTAATCGTAATCGCATAATTATTGCAACAGTACGCGCGCGTCAAGCGGAATATATTCAATGGTGTCAAGCAATGATAAACGGTACACGTTTCCCAAGCGTTTTGCGAGAATTAAAATGATTTCGCGCTGAGAAAATCACTGCGCCCGAAAGGAATGGGTGTCGTCGAACGGCAAACGTTCAGATGGTCGTGAAGTATCGTGCTACGGAAAACAACGTACGCTAATGTCCATCGAAATCAGCGTAAAACGAGTCCTCGGAGTCCTCGCTCAGGCGCATCTTCCCTTTTTTTTCGCACCAGCGAGTAAGTATACGTTGTTCATAAAAAACAGACATTGTTCGGTAAACCGGAAGAAATTTGTTTCTGCAAAATTGTACGCTTAATCCTCGAAATCAGGGCTTTAGACATTCTTTTATTCTATTTATTTTTAATATGATATTCTATTTCTTTTCGAATGCAAAATTTATTTTCCTAAATTGTTAATTTCTTATTTTCCATCTTCACGTGAGGATTAAAAATTTTCATCTAGATAACTGAGGATTGAAAATACGAATAGAATTATACGATCCTCGATTTCGAGAGAAAAATGAGGAATTGCGATTTAATTTCGTGACAAATTAAATTCCTACTAATTCTTTTAGTCGTCTATTTTCTATGAACACGGTATACGTCCTCGGTTCTTATCACTAGCGGTGAGACAAATATTAAAATATTAATTTCACAATCCTCCACGCCTAAACAGTATGTACACGACTAATCATATCCGTCACCGGTCGTTGTGATTAGACTAAGAGTCTACAAAAAGGATGAGTATAAATGCAGGTCGGTGCCCTCCTCTGATTCTACACAGTTCCGGCTCGTAAAATACGATTAAATGCTTATTTAATCTATCCCACATTTCGTTTGTCGAAATAATAGTGAACATATCTTTTTTTTTTTTCACAATTATATATCTACTTTTATTCGGCTGAGTGTAATTCTTAATTTCCGGACGTTCGAGTCGCACTTTTTGGATATTATCTATTGCTACTGATACTACTTATCAATTCCCGTTAAATAAATCGACGACACCGATCGCTCCCTTCAGCTAGTAAATCATTAATCTTTCCAGAGCACGTTCAGTAATGAGCTTTTTATCTATCGCGCGACTTTACAAATCACACAAGAAGTTTCACATTAAATTCTTCGAGCCGGAACTCTATCAATTATATCGAAATTCTAAAAGTGAGACGCGCTAAATCTCATAGAAATATTACATTAGCAGGCACAAAATCGACCTGAAATACCACTCGAACATCCGAAGTTTACGTTTCCGCTTGGTCTCACTGTAAATGTTACTTAATTCTCCCGTTTTTATCACGACATGAGTTAAAAACTAACACTTCAGCGTCAATCTTGCTCTTGGCAGATCCGTCCGCGAAACGTCACGGCACATTCAATGAGCATTCGCCAAATCTCTTTGTATTCCGCGACTATGATTTCCCAAGCAAGGTGCGCGCGCGCCTTCGTTAAAGATAACAGCGTCAAATATCATTCGTACCGATCGCATCGCAAAACGGCGCAACGGAGAAGCGAAAAACGGTCTACCTTGACCAAAGTGTTCTATTCGATTTGTGCGGTACTGTTTAGGAAGCGTAGCACATACAAATTCCCGTTTCCTATGTTGTTTTTTTTTTTCCGGGGCATTTTTAGACTGCAAGTTAGTCGCGTGTCGATGCCGCGCGCTGTAATGACGTTATCTACCTGTGTATCCCGATATCACATAATCGTGTCTCTCTTGTATGTATATTAAAGAAAATTGAACACAGCGGTTCGATATATAAAGTTCGATATACAACACTACCGGAATGTTTGTCTCTCGGGAAAGGTGCTAACCGCCCTCCGCCTCTTTTTTTTTCCCCGTGTAATCGTGCTACAAAACGCGAAAGTCGCCTGAATAAATTCTGCAGTGCGGTACTTGGCGCGTATCTCGAAATTCTATTTAAGGTAGTTTAGAATATATTTCATTACCAGCTCCCTCCCGGTGTGGCAGCGTTCTCGCCGTGACATATGTATGTATATGTATCAAAGTACACGTTTACAATCGCTTACAGTCACTTACGTTTAAGTTAAGTAGTCGGAGATCAGAAGATTCGCGTTATCTTAAAATTGCGAAACCCCGCTTGTCAGCGTTTATCCAGACAACGCAGACGTCCGAGGGACATCGTTCTGTCTTTCGGATTTTTGCGTCGTGTGTAGAAAATATATAATATATATATATATATATGTATATATCGTGCATGGACTACATCATCCTCTGTACAGCGGAGATTTAATTTGTTACATTATTATTATTGTATTGCGGTTTACAGCGATGTTACAGCTATCGCTCGGTGACGAGGGTATACGTATACGACGAAACACTTCCAGCACGACCAGTCGATCGCGCGTCGATTGATTTGGGGAGCCACTGATCCGTAAAAATCGAGAATTAATTCAATCCTCACGTCGATTCTCACGATTCCATTCGCCCAAATCGTTCTCTATTCGCGTGAGCTTGTATTCAAATCGCGCGCTCGTCTATCGTGTACAAATCGTAGGACGCGCAACTGTAGATTTCGCATCGACAAAATCAAACGCGCCCGATCGACCTTCGTCCTGGGAGATCGAGAAGCCAATAGGATTCGCAAATGCGAAATGAATTAAAGCGCGTTCCAAATGCAGTCGGGGATGAAGTGCTAATACTTTCAATTACGCCTTAGAATTTGTCTTACGTCTTCTTCGATTCACGTCTTAGAATTCGATTTACGCTTAGTGGACGAGCACGCCGTGGTCGGCCTGTCGCCTCGCTCGTCAAAGCTGAAACGTAACGTTACCCTAAACGCGCAACGACATCGCGATAAGGAAACCGCATCTCAGCGCAAAACTCCAGATTGATCTTCGATAAAGTGCTAACTCTCCGGAGAGGGGAGGGGAGATTGGCTGGAATTTTCCGAGGAGTTTGTGGCACGAGGAAAATATCATGAGCGTTAATCATCGTCCCGCGAAGAGTTTAAAGGGGGGGGGGGTGCGAATAGCGTGTCTCCCCCAGGGGAGAAACTTTAGAAAATACAGTCCGACGACAGCTCTCTCTCTCTCTCTCTTTCTCTCTCTCGCGAGACCCGTCGCGGTTCCGGCCGAAGGCGATCGACACGTCGCGCGCGAGAGAGAAAGAGAGAGAGAGAGACTCCAGTCGTCTTCGGCGACTTACAAACTAGTTGAGAAACTGCATCTGCCGTATCGTTTCTTACATACGTATATATATGCGCGTGTACGTCGCGTGAAAAATTGCCGATACATCGTTACGTCGAGACGCGCGTGTGTAAGAACAGTGTCGCACTGATTCCCATCTCCGCGACCACGCCGGCTCTTGCCGCGGCGTGCGACAACAACAGCAACGGATCGCACGTCGCGGAGAGGCGACGGTGCGAAGCGCGCGGCGTTTCGGCGGCGTCACACACTGTCCGGGCTGCTGGTCTCGTGGTCGCAGCCCTGATCGATCTCCTCCACCTCCTCGCCCTCGTCGCTCTCGCTCGGCGGGCTCGGCTGCTCCAGCTGGTACTGATTGAAGCTGCGCGCCGACATGTGGTCCTGCTGATGGTGCGGATGGTGCAGCAGATCGTGATGATAGCAGTGCGACAGGCGCCGATCGTCGATGATCCGCTGTGGCGGCAGCTCGTCGATCGGCATGCCGCTGTGCGACCGCCGGTGCAGCCGCCGCTGGCAGATCAGGCAGAGCACCAGGGCCACCAGGATGCCGCCGATCGCGTAGACTATCGGCATCGCGTAGCTGTCGACCGGTACATCTATGACGCCTGCAATTCGCGTTACAATATACGTATTTGCATATGTAAATAATTGCATAATATATTCGTAATATTAATATTAACAGCGGCGCAGAGAGATAATATATTGTTTTAGCAATTATTATTAATTAATATGCTTATATAGGTTATACTAATTATAATATTGAGTTATCGGTGATTTTAGTAATTCCGTAAGAAAGTAGATGAATGGAATAAATTGAAATTGTTTCTGTGAATCTGAGTTGCAAATAAAAAAAAAATTGCCTTTGCGAGTTGCATGTTAAACAGTTTGTGGCTATTAAAGTAGATGAGTAAAATTATGAAAAGGAAAATTATTCTGAAATTAATACTCGATTTCAAAGATTCATAACTGTACGAAAGAATTCTCATCGATCTTTTGAATTCATCTAGTTTCTCACATCTATTTGCTAATATCTCATTGATCGGTAAAAAGATATTTTCCTACGCGTAGCGAAAACATATGGCAAATATATTCTTAAATAATTCTTCGATGCTCACAATACAGTCGCTTACGTATTTATATATATTCAAGAAAAGCCACTCACCAAAGTTGCTATAAGATTACAAGTAGATTTGCGAGTCTCCGAAATTACGGTCGTTGCTTAATTTATATTCCATGTAGGTCGAAAGATATAAGGACTACGAGAAAGAGGTAAGTAATAGTAGAATTCAGAGAGAGAATACGTCGTATAAGATTCAAAGGAATAAAAGTAGAGAATCGCATGCAATCAATAGAGGCGTAAGTTGAATTGCATTCCTTCTCGGCATGCTTCTCGATTCATGTGTTGGATGTAATTATTTGTATTCTGATCAGAATGATGTGTCCCTCGATAACTGATGTAATTATCTTTGAAAATGTCGTTTGGAATGAATTCTTAACTCTTACTCTTAACAATATTTCCAATTTCAGATTTTGACGCGAATAAAATTAAGATGGCTATCGCGAATGAAATTAAGATGGCTATTCGCGTTAACCTCGGCGTTACGCTTCCCGATCTGCGACGCTAAGCAAATATCACAAATGTATCGCTCTCGTCCGTCTCGGAGTGGCGCCGATTTATGACGTGACACGATAATGACAAGTGAGATTCGGAATTACACACGTAATACTCATTCCAACTAGCTGTAATATGATTGTATAATGATTGTGCAATACTGTGAGTGAACTCACGTGATAAGGGGAAGAGATTTCATAACATGCCGGATCGTCTTGGAAGCTTCATGAAGGGGGCTCAGACGGCCACGAACACAAAGCACAGAGAGAGAAGAAGCATGGCAGAAGAGACCCCAGCCAGTGCTGGTGACAATGGGGCTGATGCTGTACCTGCGACACCACACAATCATTCACCTCACGCAGTCCCGTCATTCTCTCACCACTGTACCATCGTCTACGTTCACTACTACTTACCTAGAAAAAATTACAACGCTCTCTTATTAGCCCCCGCGAAACGCTATATGTTAAATCGTTTTATTCACGTCGTGTGTTTCGGAGGAGTCGCGGGAGTCGAACGTAACTTTTAGCAATTATATTCGCCGCTGATCGCCGCGGAACGAGTAGATCAAGAAGTTGCGGATTATTTTCTGCTTTTACGTTGCATTTTTGATACCTTTCGGTCAAGCGAACGTGATAACACATGCTCCGTGCAGTATCTGTCGACGTATCATTTCCGTTCTGTACCTTCATGTCCGTCAGTATACTTGTGTGCAATTATGATTTTATTAATTCTACTAATTTATGTGAATTTAGCCTTCTTTCGGCACTCGAAGACACTCCCGTCGCATCAGATCGTATTCTTTTTGTACTTCGTTATCGTGAGAAGAAAAAAAAAAGTTCGTCGTATTGATCTAAATGAAATATTCTTGAATGTGAAATCAGGAGAAAAGATTCGATTTGCTGGAAGTGCGCGTTATTCGATTTGATCAACGAGTTGGTTTCATGCTGACTGTCAAATGAATCTTCGTTAATCTGCTTTCCGTGATACAGATGAGTAAGAAAAAAACTAACGATACTGTTAAAGGATCGACCTGAAAAGGTATTGCGATACACAAAGACAATACACCTGGAAATCTTTGTAGAATATAGTGTCTATTGAACAGTCCAGAGGAGATTACACTGAATATTAGTAGAGTAGAGTATAGTTCACGTATAGAGAGAAAGAGAGAGAGAGAGATAATATAAGTTCGTAGTGGAAGCAAAATAAAACATCGAGTCACACCGCATTTCGTAACGCTTGCTCCCGCCAACGCACGTTGCGTTTCTAACGTTTGCGAAACTTACACTGCTCCTCGTCCGACGTATCGTCCGGCCCGCAATTATCAATGCTATTGCACAGTAGCGACTTGGAGATGCAATATCTACTTTTGCTGCACAGAAACTGATCCTGATCCTCGCAGGGGTCTTCGGGGTCTGTGCTCACTTCCGTCCATACCGCCCGAAAGCCCTGCTGCCCCACCGCCTTGTCGGCCAATATAAAACTGCAAAGTGACACGAGAATACGAATGAGAGGGCCTTATCGAAAAGTGCCTGCCGTTCCGTCGAAGCGCGACGCACCTGAGCCGCATATTGTTGTCCTCCGAAAGCCAGCTCCACTTGGCGTTGTCCTTCACGCCGCACAGCTCGATCGGGGTCGACGTTAACGAGTACCACATGCGTAGCACAGCCGCGGGACAGCCTCGCGCTGAAAATAGTTATCGATAAATTAATATAGCCGGAGAATTTATATATAAATTAATACGGACGTGAAATAAGGAGATTCAGACGAAATAACGAATTAATTAATCGCTAAATAAATGTGTGTATTACCTATTTGATCGCCTTCCACGGAGAAGAGCTCAAAGTTCAAAAGTATATGCTTGTTCGGTTGAACCCTTATAAACCAGTTGCAAGTCTTGCTAGCCAAGTTTTTCGCCGGGCCCTCGTATTTATTCGGGAAATTCGGACTGGTTATTATACCGGAATTTAAGCTACTAATATTTGTTCCACAATCTACGGCACAATTCATTCGACGAAATTAGTATCGCGACAAGTGCGTCACGGATTCTCGAAATCAAATTTCTCGTCTCCCGAAGCGCGGAAGTGGGAGAAACTTGGGAGATGAAAAATTTCATTTCTCTCGACACGTTTGTTCTCACAATGCGTACCTCCGGAAATAGGTTTAGCGACCTCGAAGGTGTAACGCGCCTTGAAGCCGCTGTAGACGAGCTCGGAGTCGGAGTGCAGAATCACCTTCAGGCCACGAGCACCGAGATTCGATTCCACCGGGCCCGGCGCGGTCCCGCCGCAGTACCTCCCTATCAATTTCTCCGTGTCGTCTCGGTACACGTTGTAAATTTCCAGCCAGTCGTCCTGGCAGAGCTCGTATCTGTCGAAAACACGGCGCGGACGATATAAGCTTCATTCGTTACACGACATTGCACATTATCACGCTACACTCACCCGTAATGTCCGACCGTGGCATTGAGAGTTTTCGTCCGGACCTTGAAGTGGTCGAAGATCAGAGCGACCTGCTCGTTCGGCGTCGCCACGAAGAAGTAAGTGCAATTAGTGTCGCTCGGATAATTGCTGGGGTATCGCGGCGAATTGAACTCGCCCCGCTTGCGGGAATCGCTGCGATAAGTGAAGTTGCAGGTGCCGTCGGGCGCCGCGGTGCCCGGGATCTTGTATTCCGTTTCGAAGGTGTACCTTTGGTTTACATTATCGTATCAGTGAAGAGAAATCGAGGGAAACGAATTAATCGAATTCAAATGCAAATCGAAATAGAAGTTCTGAGTCCGTGAGTTTTTAAACGTGCGTTAATTTTTACGATTGCAGAACGAGATGTATCAATGAATAGCGTCTGTCACATGCATTTGAATGATTAAGCAATTTAAATAGTTAATTTGCGTTTTAATAATAAACATTATCAAAATCAATTTTGCTAGTTCTCATTCAATCGTGTATTTCAGGTCGAAAATACCCGTTTGCGGCGTTCAATCACATGACATCTGCACTCACTTGGCTTTGAAACCCTGCGCCTGCAATTCGCCACTGCTGAACACCATCACGAGCCTCGGCCCGTCGCTGACCACGTAGCTCGGGTTGCTCTTGTTGCCGCACATCTCGTAATCGAATTTGTCGTAAGAATCCGTCGCCTCCTGCCCTTTTAAATACAGTTTCAGGTAGCCGTCGGTGCAAGACGCCCTGGAAAAGCCCGAAAAAAAAATCCGTGACGCGACTCGTTTACTCGCAGTCTGTTTATTGGCGCTTTAAACGTAACTACACTCTCGGCACTTACTCTCCTTTGCCCATCTGTATCGCAAACTGTATAAACTCCAATCGCACGCGCTCCAGATGCTGCGCGTCCTGCATCCCGTAGATAAAGTAACGGCACACGACCTTGGGGATATAAGGATATGGAAAATTCGGACTAACTACGTGTCCCGAGGTCTCCTTCTTGCTGAGGATCTTCTGATCGCACTCGGACCCGCGGATATGCTCGCCATGGTATTCCGTGATAAAGTCTGCAACGGAAAAAAAAAAACAAATGAGAGTCGTCCGAAGATACGGCAAGCGGCAAATAAAAGTCGTTGCTGTCTCACCGAGGCTGACGAAGCTCTCCGAGAACTCGAAGATCCCCTTGAATCCTCGATTCTGCGTGTTTGCCGTGCGCTTCAGCGTGGAAAATAACACGAACAAGCTGTTCTCCGAAGAGTAGAGCACCAAGTTCCGCTGCTGGCCGCAATACGTGCCGATAACGGCGGACGAATTGTCAAGGCCATCGTACACCTTCACGTAATCCAATGGACAACTATAGGGTGTAAAAGATATTTTTGTTAAACTTGAATAAACTGCAAGAGTGCGAAATATTCCTCTACAAAAAATGAGCGACTTAGAAATTCGTTCTATGAAAATTAATTTTCTTTAATATTTCTAAGAGTTGTAGAAATTGATAATTCATTTTGTTCTTTTTTTTAATTAACGTCTTTTCTGCAACGCAGGAAAGAAATATTTAAGATAAAATAACTAGATAATTATTTATTAAATACTACAAGAAAATGTAAAAATTTTTCAACATAAATGGAAGAAATTCAGACTTGTGTACGTACTGCGGTCCGCCGAAATACAAATCGAAGTCGCGAAATTCTAGCCGCACGCGCTGTCCACGATTCCCGATAAACTGATAGTTGCAAGTGAGATCTTTCGGATAGGTGCCGGGATAAGTAGGAGACAGTATGTTCCCCGTGCGTTTGATTTTTGCGTTTATCGTGAAAGTGCATGGCGTGCTTGGCGCCGGTGTGCCCACCTCAAATTCGGCTGCAAACGATAAATTACATTAAGCATCATTAAACGACGTTCTTTGAACACATAAAAAGAAGTTTTAAAATCCTCCAAACATTTATATTTACTTATATTATCATTATTCATAATTTACATTAAATTATTAAATCTTTTTATGATAATTCCAGTATTTTTGACTTAATTTTTCCGATTCTAATTTTTAGGGAAAACGGCTATTTAAGGCTATTTTTCTACAATTTAAATTTATTGAAATAATTCTTTTCGAATCTGTGAAAAATGTTTATCATTGAGTCATCCAAAGATTAAAATAAAACGCTTTAAGATAAATATGGTATAAAACTTACAAGCATTGATGAATCTGTAAATACCGCCGAAGACGCTCGGCACCGTGATATTCTTGTCGGTGAAGAAGCTGAGCGCGATTCCCTGATAAAGAGAGACCCGTCTGCGCGGTGGAATCGGTCCGCAGAACCGTCCACCGAACGGCGTTTCTATCAGCTTGGTCGTGTTCTCCGATCGGATCTCCGAGTATATGTCCATATACTCGTGAACACAGCTGAAAAAAAGTATCTTGTCACTTTCACCTTCTCGCGAAAAAAAAGCGTTTCCCGTGCACATTTCATCGCAAGCATAAATTTGTTTATGTAAAAAATGTAGTAATAATACAATTGGTTTATCGTTAGCTTAATATAATTAACTGCAGGCTTGTTCACACTTACGCAGGCAATTCTCCCACAGCAGATCCACTGTAAAAGAAATAATAAGAATAATATAAATTACGATAATTCCATATCGCGAGAGTAAATAATATTATGTCTTAGAATGTTAACGATTAATTTTTCTCAAATTTCTGGTGCAAATCTACATCGAAAATCTATATTTATTCGAGCGCGAAGAAAACGGTAATCAATGGTAAAACAAGCGGACAAATCCTCAGAATTATGTGCGATGATAAGTCATAGATTCAGTGGGATGAATCGTTGAATCGTGGAGAGACTCACTCTGGAGGTTTTCCCCGAAGGCCGAACGCGGTGAAGATCAATTCAACCCGCTGATGCGGCCCCGCGAGGAACGTGTAGACGCACTGTCGCGGATTCTTCTCGGGATTGATTAGGGTCGGTGCGTGAAAGGTCCCGTTCTCCGGCCCTTCGGGGGTGCTCACAAACTTTTGATCGCACTCTGCGGAAATGAAACGGAGTCGTTACTCGCGTGTCAGCTCGATCGACCGTCGCGCTCGAGAACGAAAATCAACATAACTCTCCGTAGGCGTGGAAGAAGAATAATAAAAGAGGGTAAACGTACTTGGTGCTCTGACAGTGGTGAGACCTCCCGGTGGTGGTGGCAGTGATGGAACGTAGTCTTGTTGCGGCAGTGGCGCGTCAATTACCTCGCGTGCTGAATCGGGAAGACGGGTGCGACCATTCAAAGTATCCACCGCGACGCAACACCCACCGCCACCGGGAACACACCACACCATATTACAGTAGTGTCGATAATAAAACGGAAAGGCCGGTAACAACGTGAGATATGTCGGAATTTCTTAAGGTTATTTCACGCCCTTTGAACTTTCAGTCTCTTCTCAGTCAAGATTCATCGAATTTTTCACATTAAATATAAATTAATTGGCAAGATAATGAGAAGGAATTGTCGGAAGAAGGAAAATTATGTTGATGATAAGTCATTTTATTATATATTTTGTTAGAGCAATCAAATTTATAAAAAAAATACGTAAAAAACAATGATCACTTTTCAGTTGTACGCGCGAAACTAAAAATCTAAATCTCGCACAGAAATGTGAGTGCTCGTTAAAAATGTGACAAAGTAAAACTGGAAACTAGAATAGTTTGCGTACACACTCACGTTGTTATTCGACATTGTACCATTATTTGAAAGTGAGGGGTTATTTGCTTAAAACTTTATAAAAAGCATACATGCAAAATTAAAAAGTAAGGGCAATTAATACTTTCGTGATCAAATGTTACACAGCAAGTAAACAATCACACAATTTCAGGAAATAAATCTCAATTCTAGGATAAAGTTCCGTTAAACTAAAAGTATTCAGTGTTCTGCAATATTCCTAGAACGTCGAAGGTCCTCTAATTAAAATTCCTCGCGCCGAAAAAGCCGATACTCTCAAATAACTGCTTTAGATAATACATTGATCTTTTTCAGCGGGGCAATATTGGACTTAAACTTTGCCTTAATTGTTGTGCCACGTGTTCTTACTGACCTGTGGAGCTGCGTGGACAGAGTAGCAAGAGCAACACGAAGGCTGGCGAAAGAAAACTATTCCCAGAGGCATGCCAGAGTGCTGAAGCCATACTGTATCCTGAGAATAATCGCTCATGTTCATCGACACCCGCGGATTCGTACTACAGTTTTTTTTAGACGCGTTAACAAGTAATATAGCGCTTTGTCAAGTGTCTTTACCATATCGTCAGTGTCTGTCCCGGGCGCAGGAAAAGCGAGGAAAACCGATCCAGATGATCATCTGAAATGCATAATCGTGTAGTTAACCATTGCAAGCGCTGACGAATATTTTTTAACGCCAATAATCACACATGCGCGATCTTCGGAATAACATTTATCCAGTTAAACACATTACGTAATTTTAGCTATTAAAACAGATATGAATATATGCTTGTTTAATCGCTAGTATTTAAATGTTATGGAAATTGGAACCTGTTAGCCGAGCAATAACAGAGTCGCTATTTTTTGCGACAATCGATATAATCGCCTGCAATATTCATCATTTCGCGCAAACGGGAAGGCGCTGAACGGGCAAATAGCCGTTTAATCAACTAATTATTAAATTTTCATCAATGCGAATCGCAAACATGGTGGTATTACAATCCATAATCGATCACGCGAGCTTTGCCGATTACAGGAAAAATTAATTATAGACAGGTAACTCGTAAATATCTAACACCGAGGTTTGTTTTCGTTCCAACGAGCGTGCTGTGAAAAATAAAGAAATCTGTTCGCGCCTGAAGCGATTTCACGCTGTATTAACGAAATATCGACTTAACGATGACGTGAGAACCTCATACAGAAACTGACCATGTAACAGTTAAAATTCTACAAGATTTTAGCAATATGAAAAGCAATAATTTGATAAAAATGCAATTTATAAATATATAATATATCCATTTGGATAATTAAAAAAATAAAAATTAAATATAGCCTTAATATTGTCAAAGTTATATTATCTTAACGTTAAAAGAGTGGAATATTTAATAATATAATATCCAATAATAAAATAATTATTACACGCTTGATGTATAAATATAGTTGCAGATTTGATCTGACCTATTCGCGCGTAAGTAGTTCCGGTCAATCAAGCAGTCCGGCAGTGAAAACAGCCGGTGATACATCCGGCACGACGGTCAGTAATGCAATCCAGCAAACTGCAGACACAAGCTCCGCAGTGTAATCAATGGATGTCTCTTATTTATTTGGCGCGCTCGTATCAAAGCCAATTGGCTCTACATTACTTCCGTCGGTTACTTACAATCTTCTGTTCTTAATTTTTCGACTTTTTTCCTTTTCCAAATATTATAATTCGACATTTTTGAAGTTGAACTCTACACGCGTTTGCATGAATGAATTATTCATCCCTTAGAAATCTTGATAATTCCCATATAATTCTCTTATTCACAAAGTGGCAATTTACGAGTCACCTCTTATTTCGCTAATTTCAGATTTCGAATGCGGATTCATTAGCGGGTTCAGAGGGATTTTCGCCGTGAAGTTTCCCTTTGTAGCTCCTCTCGATAAACGTGAACAATCGACAGAAACGAAGCGCATGTAGAACGGCACAGACGCTAGAGAAAGTAGAACAGGGTATTATAGGATCAGAACCGCGCCCATGCGCTCGGAAAAGGATAGCAAGATGGTCAATAGCGGCGCCCCCGACATTTAAACGTCGGCTTTTCTTTAACAGATCAAGCGGCCCACACGGCAGAAATGTCCAGTGGATATTGTCAAATATCCGGTGGATATCCTGGAATATTCCTGGCCTACACAAACGTCTCCCGATGCTCAGATTTTCGAATAATCGTCCCTTTGTGTTACATGCTACTGCATGGAAAGAAATCATTTAAAAAAGTAAATTATATAATATTAAAATAACATTACTTTTTTAATTTAAAAAATGATAGTTTTTTTATTGCATTTTAGACATTATTTAATAAATAATAATATCTCGATGCTAGACTCATTCTCAACAGTTTTATATAAAATATGCTTTTTTTACTTTACTGAATAAAAACAATACTGTCGAATATAAATACGACACAACATTTTAATTCTCAGATATGGCTTTTAAGATTATGAAAATTGAAATTATCATTTCTTTCAATTTTTTCCTCAATTTTTAATTAAATAATAGATTCATAAATTGCGCTTGTAAATCCTATCCTTAAAATTTCTTTGTACCGTTATCAAGATTCCTGGAAATTCTTGTTCTACAACATGTACATCTACAATGTCTAGTAATTAATATTCATTAGTGAAAAAAACATTAAAGAATTTAGTAATGTTTTTTTAAAAAACGTTGAAATAATTTGTCTCACAATTTGCAGACACGTGTTAATTATAAGACAAATAATAACACACTTCCTGCTCTCTATATATGCAAGAAATTTACCAATTTGTTCACTCTACAGAAACTTAATTTAGATATCTAAATATAAAGAGAAAAAAACCAATAAACAAAACTTTGAGAATTGCCTAAAACAATTATTGGATCAGAAAGTAATGATACAAATTCTAAAAACAAAATGAAAAAGAGGAACGTAGAAAATAAGGAAATATAATTGAAGGAATAAAAGAGGTTTGCGACTGAATAAAAAATCAAAACCTGGACCTCTGCAAACGTTTGACGCATGTCGATAGGACAATAAATGATTTGTACCTTTTCATGAGTTTTTTCCGGCGATCATACAAATCGCACTGACATCACTTTCACTGCCAGAGATCCAATCTGTTAACACGGCGAATGTTTATCGGCCACGAGTTAGTGCAAGCACGATTCCCCGTAGCTCACTTGCTCAAAATACCATTTGATCCTGCCGCATTCATCAGACAATAATTTCCTACGTAAGCTTTCGCATGGCATCTGCACATTTCGGTCGCAAAAGTCAATCTCGGTCATCCTTCACGGGAATCTCTGACACGCCTAACGCCGCGAGGGCGAGTCGACAGATCATATGATCGCACACTATCGCACCCGACATTGCGACGCTACAATTAAAAAGAAAACAGAAAAAAAAAAATTAAAAACTCAAGAAAACAATTTCGCAAATTCCTGGGAAAATCCCTCCCGACATCCCGCCGTGTCTGCGAGCCGTAAATTATCGAACATCTCGGGAGTATTAAATAATTCAGGACGAGAAACACCGAGGCTGAGGAACAGGAGCGGAATTATTAAGACTACACTACGCCTGAACAAGATAAATAACGAGAGAAAAAAAAGAAAAAACTCGATCCTCGCGTTCTCCGAGATCGCGCGAGCGCTATTTCGCGAGAATCCGGAGCGGAATTCGGCGTCGAATTTATTCCGGATCGCGGAATTCCGAGAATCGGCGCGTCCGCCGCGAAGTCCCGCAGCCTCGAATTACCCTTCACATCCTGCGATCTCACGATTCCGAATATCAGCTCGCTCGCTGCCGCAGGAACTCACCGCGTCGCGCTGGACGTCCGCCGTAGAGGCTACGTGTTTCCACCCTTCCTTCTCGCGTGGTGTTCGCACCCTCGCGCGACCGTCGTCGCGATCCCCGCCACGACACGCCTACTGGCCGCGAGAGCGCGACGGGCAACGAAGCGCGCGCGGCACGTAGGAACGCGGCTCGGCGGCTATCACGCGGCGGTGAACGCGAGCCTGCATATCGAATGAGCGACGACAACGCACCCTCTCCCTCTCCCTCTCGCTCTTTCTCTCTTTCGCCCCCGAGAGGGAGTCTTGCGCGCACCCTGTGCACGAAGCGACGTTACGCCTCGATATTCTTTCAATAAGAATAACACATGAGAAGAATCCGATAAATACATATGTGAGAAGAACACGCGCATACGCTAACTTCGGTAAGATCGCAGAGATCAGTTTGCTGTAGATACGCGAAAACCACCCTTATCGGCGGAAATCACTTCTATTTCTGCTCCTTTGCACGCAATCGTTTATTTACCTTTAACTGTTAGTGAATTTTGCGTCAACCGGAGATCAGTCTTGGAAATAATACGCACACCTGCCCGCACTCGTCAGACATCGTCTGCGTGACTGGAACATGTGCGCGCACCCATCGCTGCTGCTGCCACCCTCTTGAAAGTCGATTCGCACCCTCGTCGCCGCTGCTGCGTGCCTTCGTCGGAATGAATCCCGTCGCGCTTGTGACACAGCACCATCACGCGAGAGAAAGGCAGAACGGTGGATCAGGTATGCTGACCACCCTGCGCGAAGGAAGGCTCTTGGCTTCAATTAACACGTCGCAAATTAGCGACAGAGGCCGCCAGAAACCGAAGGGTGATCATGTGATTTCGAACACGTGGGGTGGGGCTCAGTGGCAGACTTTCCAATTTTTTTTTTTTGCAACCTTGTGATGATTCTTTAAATTTTTTGTTTAATCTGGGCAAATTTTTAATTTTGTTATCCTGAACGTTTGCATTCGGTAACTTTGCTCTGAAAGGTGTTACATCAATTACGTTAGATATTGTGAAAGAACAGTAATTCATTTTTGTGTAACATTTTGTATAATTTTTTATTACCTCTCATTTACAGCTTTGTAATGATTATTAGCTTCTCAATGATTTCCAAACAGTTTACAATCCAAGGGATTTAGAAATAAAAAGTAACATCCTTCCTTTTTCATACGAAAGAAATTTGTCACAAGCTTCTGTGATGAAAAATTTTCATGTGTAGATCCTGATAAATTATCCCGATTTTTCTCTGCTTCGTAATCAAACTAGAAATATTAGTTCAGCCATATACTTTTATCTGGAAATATAAAATTTATGTATATAATAAAATCACACTATTGTTCCATTCGCTAAAAAAACTGGAGAATTTGAATTTTGTTTTTACCCTTCCTCGGTTGTACATTCATCTAAAATATTGTGAAATCTTGTTTATTTAAAAAAATACATAATAAAACATTTCACTGTAATGGAAAAGAAAGTTGATTAATGTTAACAAATTGCTCTTCCTTGATGAATAAAAATGGATGAAAATTACATAACAATCTTAGAAAATAATCCTGTAAATAAACGCATTAACATATACAAGTGGTAACGTAATTAGAAAATTGTAAGTGTTAAATCAAGGACTGACGGAGGGAGGAGTCAGGGCTGCGAAATAAAGTCCAGCGCAAATTTTAAGAAAGGTAATTCACATACAACTGTTTATTGAGACATGTAGAATACATCTGGTCATACACAAAAATCTTTGACACTTTAAATCAAGCTCCTAGCCCGAAAAAAAGGAACCATGTTATAACATTCGTTTTTTTTTTTCTTTAAATTCATCATTATAATCATTATGTTTAACTACGTTTCACACTAAAATTAGGGGCAACTTGGAGAAATAAAAAAAATTGCGGGAATTAAAAAGCAAAGCAATTGGTAGAGGAGGTGAATAATAAAGAATCCGAGAAAAAAAACGCAAAATTACAATTAGCAATGATATGATCGAATTTGGCGGTGAGAATTTTGCACGTCTGTTTTTTTTTCGTTTTTTTTTATATATAGCCGCGGAGCTGACACGTAGCGCAAAAAAATATAACATGTACAATGTGTATATCATTCGTTATTTTTTTTCTTTATCCTTTTCAGGGGTTTGGGGGTGGGTGTTTTTTTTTCTTTTTTTTCTTATTGAATCCTTCGTTATTATCGTATCGATTTCCTTCTTTCTCGTTAATTAGTGCTAAATAACATCACGTCACAAAAATGCATATTCGCAGGAATATAATATATATTTATATATAATTAAAAAAAAAACACGTGGTTCGCGGGCCGCTTCGAACTATCGTTCGCAACTACTAACGTTTCGGCCCAAGGATCACACAACATCCGCCTGACACGTGAGAGGTGGCCAACCGCGAGATGACGAGCCCCGAATAATGTGACGATGATTTTACTTCTATCTTTTTTTTCTTTTTCTTTTTCTTCCCGAAGAGAGGACGTGTTGTGCCGCGAATAATTATTATTATTATTATCATTATGTAATCGGGGCGTTGGCCGGGCAAAAAAAAGAAAGGGCGCGCGCGCGCGGCTAACGGCATCGCCAGCCACAGTGTGTGTGTGTGGTGCATTATCCTAAAATGCGACCGATAAACCCCTTCCCCCCAGGCACCCCAGCTGCCACACCGGTTATCAGAGTATAAAAGAGGATGGATGAGAGCGGAAACCGGGAAGAAGGAACAAAGGGGGGGGGGGTGAGAGTGAGAAACGGGCGGGGGTGAGGGGGTGCGGAATGAGCGAGAGGAGGGAGGGAGTGCTATAGTGGATACCTTTGGGGTGCCTTCCTAACCGGGGCGGGGCCGCGGTGGTATTATCGATAAACGCTAGTATCCTAGATCAGTCTAAGAATCTCGTCACCGTGAACTGTCTCCGCTTTAGCCAAGTTATGCTTCCTTGCCCCCGCAAGCCGAACTCTCTCTTTAATCGTATCTCTGCATCTATGTATGTGTGTGTGTATACATGTGTAATTACATATAACATTATCCTCTTGCTTTCCTTTTTTTTTTGCCTTTATTCTTTTTACTCTATCATGCTCTTATTATTCCCTTTTATTAATTACAATTCTTTTTTCTCTGCACGGAAAAAAACCAGAATTTTCTTCTTTTATATTGGAATATTATCATGTGTCACAAAAACCCACTCAATTATGATTAGCAATATCATCCTTATTATATTGTTAATATTAATATTATTATATCCTCGATATTATGCTTTTATAAATAGGGTGTGTAGGTAAATAGAGTAGGTAGGTAGATATAAAATATAGTAAGCGAATAATCAGTAAAAGGGGGTGATGTGGAAAAGGGGGGCACGAGAGGAATGAAAAAGTAGATAGCTAACGCAAACGCGATTTCGCAATTCGCTCGGATTTTTCCTTTCGTTTCTTCTTTTTTTTACTTTTTTTTCCTCGCTTTTCGAAACAATGATCGCAATTACTGGGGACAGGATGTTTATAAGAACGGGGGAATTTCTCTCTCTCTCGCTCGCTCGCTCTCTTTCTCTCTCTCTCTCTTTCTCTCTCGTTTTCTCGTCTAATCGTTACTACTAGATGCGGTTAAATTCATCGCTATCAGTAAAAAACAGTATCGATGACGAAGAATTAGACTTAAGTAAAACATGAATAAAAATTAACAAAATGCTCATAAATACGAGGTTGGGCAAACAATCGATCGTCATCCAGACATTTTTTGCTTTGTCCGTGGTGCGTCTATCGTTTCGTATTTTTTTTTCCATATTGTGTGTGTGTGGTGAGTGTTTTCTGAGTCTGTTAATCATATACGGTGATTTCATGTTACAATGCGATATATATGCGATCTCTTGTATCTCTGATTGGTCGGTTCTGTGGCATAATCGTTCGGTTTGTAGAATCATACTCGATACTCGTATCACATACACATATCATCGTCGATCCTACGTTTGTTGTATCAAAAAATCTGATCCGGGGCCAATAATAATAAAATTGTTACACATGCGGTTGTCGTCTCGTTTGGTGTGTTACAATAAACAGGAGTCTGATATGCTGATATTCCGTTATTACAATATCCATTTTTTTCGCTTTTTTTTTTCTTTCCTTCGTCTTTACGTCGTATATTTGTCTTCATATTCCGGGGGTGCGTGTAAAATACAAATGATTTGCATATGTTTTCGTTTTTTTTTTCTTCCCTTTTTCAAATAATCATCCAGAACAGGGGGTGTCTGGGCTCCAGGGACAGGGACCAACTACAGCCCGCACTTACAACTCTTACTAATTAACTAACAGGCTAACAATAACAACAAGTCAACACTCAAAATGTGTGCTGTATGTGTTCATGCATTTGTAAACATTACATTTTACATCCTACTTCAATCCGTGACTATCATTATCAAATTCAGTCATCTTTAAAAACTTTCCTCTCCTTTCTCTCTCTCTTTCTCTCTCTCTCTTTTCTTTTTTTAATCTTTTGTAAAAGAATATGAGAAACAAATTTCACTTTTTACATAAAATTTAGAAAAAACAATACACTTTTTTTTTTAACTAAACCTAAAGGGTTATAGGTTCGTCTTTGATTTGTTTTCAACGATCAATCTCTTAATTTTCAATTATAAAAAAAAAGAAACACATCAACAAATAAATATATTACGATTTGGATCCGAGTTTGCCTTACTACTTGGATGCTGTCATTGAAAAAATTTACTGTACAAGTGGGTTTCATCTCGATCGTGAGCAATACTCTCTTTTTTTCCCCTTTTTTCCTCTCTTTTCTTATCCAATAAAAACCCTCGCGTGACCGATAACCAAAACCTAAAATCTGGGAGACACCCGCAGAGCCGTTGGCTTGCAACGTTTCACACTCGCTACTTTCGCAAAACTTTGCCTGACTCTTAATAATAATAGTTTCACTGACTGTACACATTTATAGACCAACAATAGAAGGTCTTGCGGCGCGCTTGGCGCGCTCCACGCACACATACACACACAGACACATTCCGCTTAAAGACAACCTCTCTCTCTTTCTCTCGCTCGCTTTCTCTCTCTCTCTCTCTTTCTCCGTCTCTTGCAAATACGTCAAACGCTCATCCCTCTCTCATGCTCACTAAATATCGCATTCTCGCCCTGCGCCGTCTGCTTGCCTACGCGCTTACCACATTTGCCTACTACATTTTTTTCGCTTCCCTAAAGTCGAATCTCCGCCTCCTCTATCGTTAATCATTTCGTCTCTAAATCTCTTTCCCTTCCGCGCTACCTATTTTGCCCCTCAATCTATCTAACACACACGCTTCGCGTCACGTAGATTCAAAAAACTCTAGTCATCGCGTAATAAACCGCAGGCTTCCATGAGTTCTCTTAACTAATACAAGCCATCACAATCCCTATGTCAACATCGCTGATCTTCATCACTTGGCAGTAAACAATGTGACAATGCAGTAGTGGTACTTAGATTAGTATTATCATAATAATAATAATAATAGTACGGGGTGGGTGGGTGGTCACACTCCGATGTAATAATTAGTCTCAGTGGCACATCACTGTACATAATCACAACAACAGCGGGCGATGGTGGTGGCGCAGAGTACAGTTGCTGCGTATTATTAATATATGAAAAAACATTTACAATTATTAGGATCGATTAAGGGCGATAATAATACAAATGGATGATCTTTTTTCCTTCCCATCGAGTCTCGAGTCTCTCCTCTCTCTCTCTCTTTCTCTCCCTTCCTTCCTCTCTCTCTCTCCCTCTATCTCTCTCTTTGCGCTCAGTCAGTCTGATTTTAGTTTTTTTCCTTCCCCTTATTTTTTAATATGTTTTCTCTTCCTCGCTTCGTCTATCATGCATTTGTTCGTACGTGCGTATGTTTTTCATCACTCACAGGCTTGCAGAAGTTAGCTCCACGACTGGTAGGAGTCTTGATACCATTCGTGATCGTCGCCGGAAACACCGCCGAGCGCGCCGGCTCTGCCTCCGAAACCTATGTCACCGCCACCACCACCACTGCCACCATTCACACTCGCCAATCCGTACGCATTGCCCAGTGGTTGTTGGGCGAGGGGCTGGTTTCCCCAGTTGCTCTGGAAGCGACGCTTAGATTCCCCCTGGTTCTGGTGACCCCCGTCAAATTTTCGTTTACCTGCTGTAAACGAAAGAGGGGGGCGTTAGTACGATAAAAGACCGACGATTGTACGCCTGAGAAAAAAAATCAGATTTAAGCGGCATTCCTTTTTTTTTTTTTTTTTTTTTTACGCGTTGTGCGCGTGTGACGCTTACAAAGTATTATACATAAGGAGAAGTGAAAAAGATTTGAAGTTTTCCGAGTGAATCGTGTGGTGTGTTCAAAAGATTTGTGTGTGTGTGTTTCTGAACAGTGAGAATCTTGTGAATCTCGTGAAATAGCAAGCTCAGATTTGTGGGGGGAAAAAAGTGAAAACGGAACGTCGGGGTTCTATGGACTTAAAAAAATTATAATTGCTTTGATCTTTGGAGAAGTGAGTATAAAAGATAAGGAAGGGAACTACTAACCTACCGCTTTGTTACAATCAGGTAGATGGGACTCGGATACCTTGATGGGAAGGTTGGATTGGATCGTTTACTGTAAGGTGAACAATAAGGTGACAAATCCGTGACAAAATGTACAGAGGAACGTGCAATCATTTGACAAACTAATTATTATATAGTCATTTTCGAAACCTCAGGCTGACTGAAAATATCGCTCATTAGCAAATCTGTAAAAAGAGAATCAGAAGGTAATTAAATATCTCGTCGAACAATGCAAGGTTCAATAATGACTCTATAAGGCAAATACGCGTTTCACACGTGGCGACATTTCAGATTCAATGTGTCAATTTTTTTGCAGCAGCAGATTGCGACTGCTGCAATTGGGGGGAGCGGCAATAATAAACGATTTATAAACATATCCGAATATGTCTTTGTAAATAGAGAGCGAGAAAAATTGTACTGTTGAAATGTTAACGATAGAAATTACTCAGAAAATAATTCCAGCATTTAGAAACATTGTTCAGAGGCGTTTAATGTTCGTGTTTCTTTCATGAAAAAAAAAAGTGTGTCAAACTTGATGGTAAAGCTGGCGTATGACAAAAATTTTCTAGCGAAGAGAGTACTATTTAAAGTGATTATTTCCAACGTCGATTAACAACGGTGGAAATAATCATCCCTCGTGTGGAGCATATTTGGCGTGACATATATAAATACACGGACCAAACATTCGCATACTTTTTGCAGAAGCCGGAAATATGCAGTTTATAATTGAGATAATTTATAATCCTACTTCTTTCTTCACTTACTCAAGACGACAAAAACATGAAAGATCTTATTGATAGTGTGATGTGAATAAAAAATAAATAATATAGGGAAAATAATAGGCTTACAAATTAATCGTTTCTCTCAGTTGTAGCTCATCAACTAGCTCGGCCTGAATGCTTGGTCATGTAAACAGATTTATGTATATCGTTTACAAAATCGTAATATACTAGCTATAATAGCAGTACAATAGTCAAGAAACTGTGTATATTTGCTGAGAAATAGCGCAGCGAGATTTCCTGCGATGATAATTAGCGCTAGAAGAATCAAGCGACACTACCAGCTTATGTAGAAATATTTTTCTATTGAAAGAAAAAAAAAAATAAAGAAGTTACATCTGAAACTATGTTACATTACGCCTCGAAGTCTTAAATAATTCCCTTTGCATCAATTCCGCGAGTTAATTATACAAAGTAATTTAAATTTTTAAATAGAACAGTGATCGATAGTGAGATATCATTATGGCCGGAGAGTCGACCATATCGTATACCTTCTGGGGATCTTCATCTTGACAATTCCATCATTAATACATTCTTTATTGGACTTGCACGACAATAATTACGGACACAACGGTGTCGATGCGAGCTTTCACGTGTAAGATGTATCATGGTGACAAGAAGTGTGTATGTATGCGTGTGTAAGGTGTGGGGAAACAGTGTAAACAGTGTAAACAGTGTAAAAGATGATTTATTGTGGAGATACAGACCATCCTCACCTGGTAAACTTCCCTTGGCGCGGACCCCCCCACGAGCGGCCAGCCGCTGGACCCCACGGGCCCCTGAAGCTGCGGGGTTGCGTCCCCCCCTGACTGGCCCACGGGCTTGCGGGCCACCGATTCGGCCACGTGGCACTACTCCACGGCCACGACCAGCCTGACCAAATAACACACACCCAAATTGTTACCCCATTTAATCATACAATTGTTTGCGTGTTGTCTGCGCACGCATTATTATTAATTTTCTCTTAATACTTTTATATCTTCGGTCCTATATATATGTATATTTAATTTAACATTATGCACAGTATATTTCGCAGTAATGATATTCTTAAAGACGTGATAGCAATAGTGAGAGTTAGACACGGTGAGAATAAAAAAAAAAAAAGAAGAGTATGTAGATACGTGGATCACTGTGATAATCAGCGTATCTTTCACACATATTTAGAACGTATATGTACATACTGGGTTTTAATCATGTGTACACGTACGTTTGCGTAACAATAAAATAGATACAGGAATAACAGAGAAAGAACGGTAAGAAAGCGCAAGAGTGATGGATAGAAGACAGATAGAGAGAGGAAAGTAAGCAGAGAGAAGGAAGGGAGAAACGCGGTGTAAGAGAATATCACCTACGTTCAAATTTGTATTAACTACTATTATTTTACCTAAAAACGCATAAGTAGTTAGCAGAGTTATCCAATGTAGTAAAGCATAAAGCGTACCGATACTTCTGCGGCGAAGAAACTTTTAAGCGACACAAGTTATTGCACTGGCAGCTAAAACAAAATTCAACCAAAAAGCGTATTATAAAAATAAGCGGCGCAGCATGAGTTAAGCACATGGTTAAGTGTTTTCAAAGCGTATAAGCTGTGGATTTTTATATACATAGATGTCGTGGGATGCGGCGGTGCGGGACAGGGGGTTGGACCAAAGCGAGAGCTGTGAGGCGTGTCTGCTGGTGCTATATATGCGAGGGAGGGGGGACACAAAATCCTCTCTAATTCCGTCATCTACCTCCGTGGTCTCTCTCCCTATATCACACCTACGCACAATTCAAACAAGTGTACAAGTAATAACAATGCATAATTATGTAGATCAAGTGAAGTGTAGTTCGATCAGGATAGCGGATCCCGTAGTTCCAAGTTGGTTGGTTATAAACTTGCGACAAACTTTTCCTCCAGCTTAAGCAAATTGCCACATTGAATCGAGCAGTTTACTTCTTAGAGCTCAGAACGATCCACACGTATAAATATATATCGCTAACGCGGCGAAATGCTGTTTGTCAAAATACAAAATGTGATCAGTAAGTAGTAGCGACCAGAAGTACATCTTTCCTGTAAGAAACTGAATTAAAGAATGCGCACGATGAGTCGCTTACATATAACTACATTCAATAATACTGACACAAATACTGGAAAACAAAAAAAAAAAAAATGATCATGAACACTTCAAGATTGAAAATACATCCTTCAGTCGGGCGAATAGATGCGACTATCAGATTCCATTCGACTGATGTCACTATTGTACGTTTTTCGATTCGAATCTAAATACGAAAAGATTTATCTAAAAGAGGAATACCTCTGTGCTTAGCTAAGTTCGATAATTACATGAGTATATTGTAAAGCGAGGAAGGTACGATGACGATTTAACGCAAAAAAATTGGGAATCGACACATAAGAAACGTGGCGCGGATGTGAGCCACATCGTGCGAGTGTGCAGCGAAAGAAAAATAATGTAAAATCATAACTGATAATATAGATTGGCGAAAAAATAATCTGGAAGAAACTAGTCTACATCCTTAAGAGGCGAGCAGGAGTCGTCGAGTACGATCTGGCGTACGTCGAAAATAAATAATAACGAAAAAATGAACGTTAGAACAAGACACAGGATAATGCGAAGATAATTCGAGAAAGGATCTCCTCTAAAGCGACGGCTAAACTACGACGATATACATCATATAATGGCACGGGGAACACTGCGGAGCGCCAGATTAAAGAAAAAAAAAAAAATAGTAAACACGTACATGAGAAACTAAGTGCGCGCGTGTCGCGTGTTGTAAATTAGCGAGACATCGCTAAGAGAAAAAGTTGATCGCAAACATGTAAAAGATATAAAATACATGAGAACGTTATAAAGAATTTCGCGCAGGGCGCCCATATGCTCCCTTATGTCATATTTGGATAACCCTGCAACTTGACATTAGAAAAAGTATAAAATATCATATCCGAGCCACGAGACGCAACGTCGCTCTACAGAAAAAAAAAAAGAAAAAAAAAAGATAAAATTACATGGAGGCAGTATATATATATATACATATTACGAACGACGATGGTAAGAGAAAATCCTGTACACTGCTTTCTGCCTACATCTGGAATACTCCTGAAGCACTGCACTAGGGTAGTGGTAGTAGTAGCGATGGAAGAGTATTAGGGGATTCCTGCAAACACTATAAAAATGTGCGATCTTCTTCCTTGGGAGGGTTTTTCTGGAGAAATTATCTTGAGGCTTCCGTTCTCTACGCATTCCGCACATGTCATTTCTGTCTTTTCCCTTCGCTTTTCTTTAATTTCTCTCTTTTTGTTTAAATTGCTTTTCCCGGCTGTATAATTTGCTTGAAAATTTAGAATGGGTCTACCATGGCTCAGATATGATTTGCAAGCAATTTGAAAGTGGCAATGTGTTCGGATTAGAGGGTCTAATTTTAGTATCGAAGCATTTGGTGTTAGTCAGTATATAATATATATACTAGGACTTATAAGAGGGTCTATATATAAATACAATGCATTCACAGTGTGCTCTTAACAGCATTCTCTCTCACTCGCGCGCTCTCTCTCTCTCTCTCTTTCTTTCTCTCTCTCTCCCTCCTGATTGATATTAATAATTAATTCATTAAAGTCGACGTTTACGCAACATTGGCATATCTTTAGTACACGTCTTGCTACTCCCTTTCTCTCCCTCTCTTTCTCTCTCTTTTACTCTGAATTCGTTATAAAACTTCATATAGCTCGGATGAGTGCTATTATTTGTATACTGTGGATGCGGTGCATTTAACAATATCAGGATCGTAAGTTAAAATATGCAATCCCCCTGCGCGTTAATAGTGAATAAAGCTAGCGCATATCCAGTTAGCCAGCGTTAATTTTACACGCTCAGACAGAGAAAATATATGGGCAGAGGGTGGTCTGGACAAAAGTAATTGGAGAGATGTACAACGTATTAAGGAGAATCCGCGAACACTGTGCCACAGTCAAACTACCGCTGATATGTCAAAAAAAAAGTAATAATGATTTCAGGAACAAAAATTTTTTAAAACAAAGACTTTTTAGAACCATTAAAAAGGCAACCCACCGGTTGAGGCTGCCTGCCTCTCCCTCTGGCAGGCGGCGGAGGCGGTGCATAATCGAAATAGTAATCTTCGTATCGATAATAGTCATCGTAATAGGGATCACTGTATCCACCTCGATAATCCCCATAACCGTAATAGTCGTAATCATAATCTATAAAAACACACATTACAAATAGACCCAAATTTAGCCACGATATATCCAATTGGCAACTTACTGAGGTAATAATACTGTAATTTAATATTAATAAGAAAGGCATGCCGGGAAAAGATAATTTTGAAAATGCCAATAATAGAAACGAAAGAGAAAGAAAAACAAAAACAAATTCAATCGAGAGTAAAATGACTCGTGTAAAAAAAAATACGGTTCCGGCAAAAAAAGAACAATTATAAGAACACTCATGGACAAAACTGCGTATTGATTACCCTACCACCATCACATTTCCTGAGATAGAAAGTTGCAAGGCCATTCGAAAATTTCACACGTACTCCAAGTAAAATTTAATTATAAAATCTAAAATTATAATAGTTTGATTAAAATAAGTACAAAGCATTTTCAATTTTTATTTGAAAAATTTGATTAAAGAATAATCTAATTTAATGATATATAAAACATAATTCAGGCACAAAATTCAGCTATTTATAAAGTTTTTATTTAAATTCAATATTTTGTTAAAATTAGGAATTTGAAAAGGGGACAAAATTATCAATATTAAACTTCAAAAATATTCAATAAATCGTAAGAAAAGTTAACAAGTTTCTAGTTTTGCATTGGAGGAAGTTACGTTTTCGATGACCTCGCGATAAATTTAAATTGGGTATTAAACTCAATGTAAAAAGGAAGAAAATACACAGGACTACACATGATACTCTACAACTGTTGCATTCATCATTCATCATCGCGGCTTACCTATTTCCTTGAGAGCTGTAAACAGATTTTTGAATTGATGATGCATCACACAAGGTACACGAGGTACACACACGCTCACGTAAACGAAAAAACAGAACGGAAAGGCTATATAAAAATTGTCCCTGGCAATGCGTGTGATACTCTTTGTGCACTGCCACAAAATAATTCTCACTAAGGCACCAAACAAAAGAATAAAACAGATAAATACACATGCAATTATTTTTTGATAAAAAATATAAAGAAATAGGTGTCACAGGAGGTGGTAGTGGTAAGGCAACAAGGTGCTCATATTACAACGCTAAGCACACATCTAACATACATATATGTATCCATATGTATGTAACATAAAGAAATATTATATAGACGAACAATATATAATCGTGATATATAATCGTAATCTTTACTCTTATGTAAATAAAATGAAATTATTAAAAGAAACCAAAGAAATTCGTTATTTGATTCTTCCAAAACTAGGCTCAGACCAAATATACATATATTATGTATAACTTAAATAAATATATATACTTTCTTAGTTTATCTGAGCACTCTCTCACTACAACCTTTTAAAACAATTCATCGAAGTATTTTTATAAAGCAAGATTGATGTATAGTGCTTTTTAATACAATTTGATATAAATTTGTTCATTCATTAGCTCGAGAAAAATTTAGATTCTGAAAACAAATTTAAAATATGCTGTTAGATAAGAAATTACTCATACACTTTGATGTCTCATTGCTTTTCTTGTGTCAAATATGAAAATGTAACAAAGGAATAATGATTTTGGTCAAGGTCGGGAAAGAAAAAGATTTTGATTGATCGAGAATTATGTAATACGGAAATGCTCAATAAGTATCTCTTGCTCACATGTTCAAAATAGCCTATCATGCGCGTAAGCCAAGGTATGTAGTGAGATAGTGAAAAATTCCCAAAAGCATGCGGGACATTTGTGTTATGTTACAAAAAATATTAATATAAAATTATTTAATAGTATATAATTATAAAATCTGAAATATAAAAGACCAACGTACAAAAAATATTCAAAAAATTAAAACAAAATTTATATCTTTCGGCATTGAAAATAAATTACTTATAATTATATGTATATAACATTTTAAATCAACTACAGAGTTATGAAATGTACTTCATAATATTTCATAACCTTTTAACTTTTCGTAAAATTGTACAATCTTAATAAAAATACAATTAACAATTTATCAATTTCTCAATTCTTTTCCCGAAGTATTGCACGAACTTTACATTATACGACTTTAAATAGCTATGATCGACTTTTATGCTTCAAATTTTAATTAATATGGATGGTCTAAGCCTAACAAATAATTTAGTGGTTATAGTTATTGGTGAAATAAACAAGTGAAACATTTGACGTTTAAATGGAAATTATGACTCGAGCGGAACAAAAACATACAGGCATGTATTACATCGACGTATCTCAAGAATTATTGAAATTTTTATTGTCACGGAAATCAAAGTGACTTGTTCCAAAAGGGCGTTCTCGAGAAATACGCGAAACAATACGCGATTAAGAGAAAAGAGACAAGGTCGAAATTGGTACTAACCGTAATCGCCTCGTCCCATTTGTCCACGCATACCTGCGCCGGTGCCCCGAGGTCCTTGTGTCGGCCCACGTACTGGCATTGGTCCTCCCATCATGCTCGGGTGAGATGGAGATCCACTGTAAGGTGGAGAACTGAGTAACACATTTAATTTAAGTTTCAAAAAAAGAAAGAAAAAAAAAGAAAAAAAGAAAAAACGATCTCGCGAAAGAAAAATACAACGAAACAAATATACTGCGGACGACGTATTAGAAATAAACACAAGTGTGAGATATCTTACCCGCCTCTGCCCTGTAACATTTGCATCATTCGTCTTTCCCTAGCGCGCAGCATCTCTTCCTTTTTCTTCTTATCGGATGGTGGTTTTGCCAATGAAACTTCTATGTGGGATCCACCCATTTCCTTGCCGTTCAACTCGTTCATTGCCTTCGGAAGAAAGCGCATGTTTAAAATGAGCCTTTAAGATATTAAAAATTGAATGAAAATGTAAGCGTGATGTCTCTTACCTTAACAGCGTTATCTCTATCCTCGAAGTGTATAAAAGCATAATCCTTGATTTTCTTCACTCGTTCGATTTTGCCATATTGTTCGAAGCTTTCCTTCAGTTTCTCTTCGGAACAATCTTGCGTCAAATTTCGTACGTAAAGTACACGTACCTGGAAACAGAATGATTTGTAATACCAACGATTTGTCTGCGTCACGGCGCAACTAACGAAAGCTAAACTAGCATAGTTATGCTCGAGCGTGTTAATGAGCATCGAGATAATCAGGCTTGATCAGTCATTTACTTTGGACATGGTCTGTTCGTCCGGTTCCTCTTGAGGGTCCGCCCAATCGACAATAATATCACATCCCCAAACCTTGATACGTCCAGTGCTCAACCTTCGTTTGGCTAAGGAAGCTGCTTTGTGAGACTCATACTCCAAAAAGCAAAAACCTCTATTCTTCTTTTTGTCATCCGGTGAGCTGTAGATAATCACCTCCGTCAGGCCAGCTGTATGTCGGAAAAAGAAAACCATACAAGAAGCGGGTGAGATTCGTTCGAACTAGATCGGTACTCGCGAGATTTTAAGGAATGCTACTGTATAATAAAGAATGGAAACTGTGCCAAAAACACAAAATATAGATCCAAGCAGCTATTACGTTTGTTGTATACAAATGATTGCCGTGAGTGAGAGATTTGTATTATGTAGACACGCTAATCGTATCGTCTATCTTGATCATACTTGAATGTTCAATGTATTCCAATTAAATTACAGTCACTATAAATTTGTGTCTCAATTAATCAATATCTGTATGTATAATTTTGTTGCAAAAATACGTGTGTTATCATACACGACTTCTGATTTCCAGCGACTCCACGATTCTATATGCACAACATAAAAATACTACTTGGTAATAACAAAAATTATAAAATATAAAAACAACGATATAAAGAGTTCGCATTAATATATCAGACGCTACATTAATCAATTGGCAAAATTGTTTTCATATACTTGATTACATGTATCTTCACAGCACAAAAAGTTGCTTCATCATTTTGTTTACCAAGTTTTTTTTTTTTATAGATTTTACATTATGACTGATTTCATTACTTTATGAATTGCAAATCGAGTTTCACTTCTCTGCACATTTGAAAAACTAACACACTAAAAAAAGACAACCTAAAAAAGACAAAAAAACACAAGCTTGATGTAAAATAAAAAAATTCATCAAAAATTAAAAAGTTTCACTGATAAACAAACTATCCCAGGATTGAATGTAAAAGGAAATAAGAAAGATAAATGCTCACAAAATTGCGTCACGATAAAATTTCAAAATAAAAAGCTACGAAAGATCGAAAGATTAAAAGAACGGAAAAAAATGCAAAGACATTATTAATAACTACAAAGAGAAAGATTGCAAGCTCTAAATTCTGTAACACATTCTTTCGTTATACGTATGTTGAAAACCTTCTTTGTCTTGCTTTTTACTGAATCTGCATATTCGGAAAATGATCTGAGAGGATTATTCGTTTCAAGGCATATGAATACTATTATTAAGTAGAATGATTCTCATGCTATTAGAATTCCCATGCATTGCAGAGTGACTCAATTACATGTACACAAAGATTGACACTCTAACGTTATATTATATCATCGTCCATCTCTGTCTTCTAATCCTAAGGTGTGGGAATATCATTTGTATCTCCTGATCTGTTATCTCACTCTGATCTAACTGGACAGATCTCCGAAACTAACGAAAAACTGTCAAATAACAAACAATTTGACAATTTCCACAGGGCGACTTAATTAAGTTATCACTTCTCGGAGACAGTCCTTTCTCTCCTTCCTCTCAGTTTAAAAGCTATTTGTATGAACAAGGCATCTCGTATTATGTGAATAATCAATTTAAGTAGTAAACTATTAGTTTCGTGTACTAAAACCAGTACTAAAGTACCCTGAAAAATTCTTTACAATTATTCGTCAATTCAACAATCTATGTGCAAAAATATTAGCTGTAAAAAAATGAAAATGTTAATTCTTAAATTTCTTTCTCTTTCTAAGGTCTGTAGTGACAGTGTATGGATGCCTTGTACCGCTGTATATCAATTATTCTCTTAAAATTAACTTCTAGATCATCCCTATGCCTCGTCAATTCAGTAATGGCGTTTGCCCTCATCATTATCATCTACTTCTCCATTGATCTCCTCTCTGTGTCCATATTCTGATGTTACATGCAAGAATCTTATGCACACACATACAAAATGTAGTGATGATCAGACACATTCATTCGATCACACTGACCACTCTCTCTTTTATCAGATTTACATTTACATCCACACAGTATGTTTTCTTTTGTACTAAACTCACTGTCTGAAATTGAAGACACAGTAAACACACATTTATTCATTCATGAAGTGTGATTATGTTCCTATCATAATGTCGTATGTCTAATATTGTGAGTTGAAAATATTTTCGATCTCAGAACAAGAATAAAAATTAAAAAAAAAAATAAAGCCTTTAAAACTTCATAATTATGTACAAATAAAAGAATCATGAGACTGCCTGCTATAAAATTAAATTAGCGTTCCAAATTGGAAAATTTTGTGTCCCAAAACCAAATTTCTGAAATTTATAAAATATAAAAATTCGTACTGCAGACAAAAATACATCGAATAAAATGTGGTTTGAATCCATAATTGCAGTGTAAATTCGATTGGTTGTAAGACACAATAATGCAATTACGATTGTCTACTCATTGCAACTGTGCACATTTTGCAAACCAAAAATTATTAGAAATAAAAAATGAAGGAATCACATGATGAAGAGTTCACATTTGGCTTAGAAATAAATTTCAGCGTTACGAAACATCGAATAATCTTCGAAAATGAATAAAAATTTCGTTTCTCTCGAGTACCAATTCATTACAAGGTTTCCGTTTCACATTTATGCAAGAGGGCTGGATTTAACCCACCTGGCACCTCTGCTACCGACTAGATAAAAAACACCTGATTCGTAATAAGACAGATTTTTTTGTCCCATCATCTCTCCCATCGAACTTCCATCTGCTTTGTTACTGCTCGCTGATTTAAGGACAATTGTCAACTTACGTGCGTGCTTTGTAAACTCTTCGAACAAGTCATCTCGGTCTCGATTCTTTGGAATATTTCCCACAAACAAGCGGTGATTGTTATAAGATACGGTAACACCAATCTTTTTCCCTTTCCGAATCTCATAATCATTCAGCTGTAAGAATAATGTGGAAGGAGAGTGCCAATTAAGCTTGCCATTTATGATTTCACCTGCTTATTGGCTGTCTGAACGTGGGATTTCATGAAGCGTCCTTCAGGGTGGGGGGAGGGGGGAGGGAGGGGGATTCTTTTTACATAAGAGGACCAAAAGCATGACTCGAAGGATCGTGGATCGTATGGTAAATTCGAGGATCGATATCGTACAGGGTGGGTGGGAGTGCCTGTCCGTTTGTTAGCGAGCCAAACGCCCCAGCGGTCCACGCAGATCTCCCATACCCCCAAGCTTGAGACTTAGTCATGAATCACATTTGCATATTGCAAAATTGCAATGGTGCAAGACAGCGTGTTAATTTTTTTTTTTTTTTTTTTTTTTTTCTTGTCAATATACGTAAAATAATTCTTAAATCTAAAAGTATGGCTTCCACATTTTCTCTTTCCATTTCCTCGCCTCTTTTTCACCTTTCCAAAAAAAGAAGACGAAGAAGTATCAGTAGTAAAGATTGATGAAATTGATCAGTTGCACAAAATCAGGAACGAGGAGGCAGGGGGATGATAAAAAGATAAAAATCGCATGTATAGAGTAGGAAGCAGATATATAAACTCATAACTCAACCTAAATATGCGAGGAAAAGAAGACTTGGACCAGAGAGGTGTTACTGTTCACTAATAAACCGAGAGGCAAGGAGACTGACCAAGAACTAAAGGTGCCGTAAAAGGTATATTCGCAGATCACAGAATTCAATGTGATCCTTGGATGCTCCATAGTTTCCATACCATCTACAACCACTACTTAAAAGCTACCACTCTTAAGTTATACAATACAGGTAGACAGGTAGGTAATAGGTAGGTAGGTAGGTACACACGCCTCGAATTCACTTTACCTGTTAATTTACCAAATTCCTCCAAGATCTCCTCTTTGCCTTTTGACTTTGGTATGTTCCCCACGAAAAGTCGTAGATTAGGAACGCTAATGTTTACTTTCAGACTCTTGCCGGGTTTTATTTCGTGATTATCGAGCTGTGGGATGAAGAAAACAGACACATGCCTAATTTTGTTCCAATGAGGTGGTTTCGTGATTTTAAGATGATTACGACGACAGCGAAATTTGGGAAAAATTTTAAAAATTATGCAATTTAGTATAATAATCATTAACGATATGGTGTAGATCCACGAAAGCGAGAAAGTGGCATGCGCTTTGTCGCTCGAGTCTTCACAATATAGGAAACCGGCCTTTCACGTATCATGTACTCCTGTAAACAAATTTTTTAGCCTACCAATTTTCAAAATTTTGTTACAAAAATTGTCACTGTCCAATGAGAGTCAACCAATTAGGTAAATATACCCCTAACCAATTAGATCACACAATCATTGTGATTTTTCGGAAATGTTCTCCACTCCCAATTTTGCCCACTGAGCAAAGAGGAGAGCTGGAAAAAGAAACTCATCCATAGGACGTCATTAATATATATATTTCTCAGTGTTATTGAATATTTGGGATCAGTTGGATATAACTGCGTACTTAAACACGAAAAATGGTCAGGGACATATACATATGAAACATATATTATGTGGATTGTTCCTAACTATGTATATATACATATATATATGTATATATATTTCAAAGGTATATAAATCAAAGAAATTATTATAACAGGAATGTCACATATATATAGAGACGAAATAATTAACGAAATAATAAAATATCTGTGTTAAATCTACTGGGAGACAAAGAAAATATAATAGATAATACAGAACAAGCCACATAGGAATACAAGTAACAGTCATTCGAAATGTTCAGCAAAGAAAAGCAAATTTTTGTAAAAATATAATTAACACGGACATATATATATATATACATATCACTTTACTATACTCTTATTCGTCAATGAACATTATGATGGTTCAATCATAGCTCATAATAAAAAAATACTATTTAATAAACCAAAAACTAATGGAAAATCTCATAGAACATTATAAAAATCGATATCTATTAGTTCATAAACATTTCGAAGGAGCGCTATTTTGGTAGCAATAACAATTTTGTAACATTTCTAAAAATTTTGAAAACAAAAAAATAAAAAGGTTTTCCAAATTGTCCATGGCGACACGTTAATAACTAGGGCAACAAAAAAATAAGTTTATACATTTTACGAAAATGTACCTACACAATAATAATAAGAATAATAATTAATTTAAGGAAAGATATTAACATACCTCTCGAACAGCCTGTTGCGCAGCTTCCCTGTTAGTAAATGTGATAAATGCGTATCCTCTGTTGGAACCTGACATGGGGTCCATCATCAGTCTCAAGTCCCAAATTTTTCCGCATTTTTCAAACAACGGAATTAATTCATCTTCGTACATGTCTTTTGGGATTTTGCCACAAAATACCTTTTTACAAAAAAAAAAAATATTCAATGTAATAAATAAAAAAAACAATAAGCTATTTACAAAAAATATTTGGTAATTTCTTTCCAGATTAAAATTGGTGCATGAAGTTTTTTTCATAATTTTTATGAAAGATTTATATGCCAAAATTATTTTATAAACTAAAATTAAAAAATTTCCATTATAAAATCTGACTTTCTTTATATTTTAAAATTTTTATTTACCTCACAACCAGTACCAGGTGTCGGACCTTCCCAATTCGGTGGAGGACCACCATATTTTCTTTGTCCAGTAGTTACATCTAAAGGATAACCTGTTCTTTCCAGGATCATCTGAAATTATTTTTCATACTGCTATAAAATACTGTCTAAATAACAATCAAAAGTATAATAATTTTAAAGAACTTCATTTAATGCGTATTAATTAAATTTGTGACTTTAGATTACCTTGATTTTGTCCTCATCAGGAGCCTTAGGTGTCGTACTAGTGCCCGTACCTTGACCAGCACGACTCTTCTGTCTGTATGTCTTCATTACTCCGCAAAGATATGCCGATTTATTAGATACATGTTCCAGATTAGATTCCAGAAATTGTGTAAGCACGTTTAGTGCACCGTCCACTGGAAATTCCTTCAAAGCGTCAAGAGCTCTTTCGTCCAAATCCACATGAGCCAATTTCCCCGTCTTATAAATTTCGTCGAGTTTGGCAGCCACTTTTTCATCCAGTCCGTATTGCATAAGTTTGTTAAAATCTTCTGTCCGTTCCACATTTTCCATTTCTTGTTTTTCTTCCATTTTTATTTCCCCATTCCCTTCCGCCATGGCTGTAATAATAACACCTAACATGTCAAACAGCACTTACATTTTCCTTTCAATATATTCACACACATTATGTATACATTTATCATTAATTACTTTGTTATTCAACACATATGCAAATATATATTTGTTGCAAATTATTTTTTCCAAAAAATTAAATTATTATAATTTTTAAGTTAAAATATATTATGGTTGAAATAATGAAATTAATTTAAGGGAATAAATAAGCTAAACAGCCGTTGCTAGATGGTCGTGCTAGTGTATTCAATAGTAAAAATAGGTCAAAATGTTGTTTTTACTATATATTCTTATTTATTTCCTTGAATTTAAATTATTATAAAAATATTATAAAATTAAGTTAGTTAATACAAACATTAATATAAAATTACTATAAAATTAAATTACAAAATAGCTAATTTTTAAATATAAGAATTAAAATTTTTAACATATGTGCATAATAATAAAGTTATCTTCTGACATTCCATAATGAATTGTAGCACACTAAGCAATATTTGATTCAGTTCTCCAACTATAAAATAAGAAAATAAAATATGCTCCGGAAAAAATATAAACAATTTGAAATTAATAATTAAAACTGCACATGTATGAGGAATAACTATTAACAGAAATATTAAAATTGTTAATATGAAAAAGTATCAAACTTTAAACATATGCAACATTATTAATCATGATTTGCAGCATAATTATCACATCCTTCACTTTAATACAAAATTCACAAACTGTCTCCAGCAAACTTAAATTGTTAATTATGATTATTCTTATTTTTTCGAAAAATTTTATCTATACGTAAAAACCTATTTCCGACGAAAAAGCGCGCCTTCCCGAAACGCGCGACGACAAAGAACCGGAAGAAACCGGTGCGCGAGGGAAAAAACCCACGTCCGCTTGCTCCGATCGCACACTCAGTAATGCACTCAGTGATGCATACACGAATGCGGGAGTACTCGTGTGAAGGAAGACATGGAAGGAGAGGCCCGATGTGACGTCGGCAGTTGTACAGAGCGAAAATCGTCCAAGATTATAAAAAAATCACAAAGCTACGAAACAAATAACTAAAAAAATACCTAAGCAACCGAACCCGAATATTTTGCTTTGTTCGACATGTAGTGAGAAACAAGACGAGGTAAATTTCCGATGCACGGCACGTCGTTAGTTATCGATGACACTCGCTGTTCGGCGTGCTGATTAGGCGGCGGAACGGTCGAGCGCCGATCGGTCAGCGCGGCGCAACCGCCGCCGTAGGAAAGAATTCGCGCGGCAAATCATTTCATGCGGCGATATTTTCCTTTTCGGTCCCGTCCCTTCTTTTTACGATGGTCGCTGTCCCGCTGCGAGGCATGCACAGCGGTCGCGCCTTTTTTCACACCCGCCAGCTCGCCGGCCGGCGAAATGCAACCGCGCGTTCGCAACGACGTCGGCGGCGGCGGCCGCCGTTGGTGGTACGATGCACCTAAATGCACTCCGCGGCATATGCACTTCGTGGCGCGTTTAACCCTGCTGATTTTTCCGCTCGTGCTCGACAAAACTGCCGCGGCGACGCGTTTGCGGCCGATGACGAGCGGATCGGCCGTGTCGGCAACCGCGAATCGTACGGCAATCGTTACCTTGCAAAATAAACGGACGGGCACCTCCGCGCGAGGAAATGGCGACAGACGTCAACGTGATTGCGGACTACGGGGTTCACAAAACGACGCGCAAAGATACGCTCGAACCCAGCGACACAACGTTAGCCATTTTCTCACCGTGGCCGTGCTCGCGCGAATTCTGATTGGCGCGCGCGAAACGGCGCGAGACGGCGGCGTTTCGATAAAAAAAAAAAAATACGGCCGCGCGCCGAACCAGAGTACGCGCCCAGAGCGCGCTCGGGAGCCTTCTCACGCTCGCTCGTTCGCGCGCGCACTCGACGCGACCGATAAACGCGTATACCGCGACAAACGTCACGTGGAGCGGAATATTCGCGAACAACTAACCTCGCGACTATCTTAAAATCGGGAACGCAGCAAACACATATGCTTATCTGTCGACGCGAGAATATCTCACTATGCGAACATTATTATTTTCGCGCGCGCGCGCGTTCTTTTACTTCGCGAACACGCCATTATATTTCCGCGCGAAACGCGAGGACATTTACGATGAGAGCGTGATTTTGTCGCGTGTTTGCGCAAATATATGGAATTTATTATACAATTTTCATCCCATTTCGATCTTTCTGTCGCGATCGCGTTCGTTACCGGCCGGCACGAACCCGCCAAACGACTTTCTAGCCGCGCGGAGAAGCCATAATAGCCGCCCGAAAATGTCGTTCACGCGATGCATCGCGGAGCATCGAGGATCTCAAAGTCTTCGAATAACGTATCATTCGTTTGCACGATTTATCGTTCAAGAACATTAAAAACACTGCGCTCCGTTTTTCACGTTTCGAAGCCGAAAATTGCCCAACTTTCACGGTCGAAAATAAAAGATATACACAATTATCGCGAAAAAAATGCCTCCATACTTTTATCACATCTCCCCGCGTACCATAACCTCCCACATGTTGAATATGTCGCGCGAGAGAAGGAGAGAAACACGTCGATGCACTCATCCGATTATCTCGCGCGAACGAGACAAAAGCGATAGGTCCGTCTGTGCGTAAGCCGCGAAAGAGAGACAGAGACAGATAAAAGAGAACAGAGGAACGGAACGATGTATCCGTATAAGAAAAGATACGTGTGTGTACCTGTGACGAATTTGTGCTCCTCACCGGTATCAATTTAGCAGGTTCGCCGCGACGACGACGATGAGAAGAAACACCAGTTGCGACGGCAACACAAGGAAAACAGTCAGGATCTCCCGCCGGGTGTAGTAAAACTCATAATTAATTGGCACGTCACAGTCTTTCCGCGGTAGAGCGCGTTCCTCCGTACTTCAGGTTGACGACGGTGGCGGCAGCGGTGACGGCGACTGCGGTTGCACTCGCGATTACGTTCACGCCGTTGTGCGTAACTGCACCGAGAGAGATACGCGAACGCGAACGACGGCGGTGGCGGCGGCGGCGGCGGCGGCGGCGCGCCTGGGGGAGGAAGAAGGCGAAAGGAGAGGATCTCGGAGACGAGAGAAATGCCCGTTTTATCGCGTGTGTCGGCCGGTGCGCGCGCGGTGCTTTAGACGAATGGGTTGAATTTAGAGTTTCGCGTAGGCACTTGCGGTGTGATTTGCGATGACCGGTGAAGACAGATAATAAAATAGACACACAAAATTCCGTGAATTCTTTTACAGGCGGTGGTAGCGGCGATGACGACGACGACGACGGTGGTACTGATGATGATGTTGTTGATGATGAGGACGACGAGACAACGGTGAATGGAGTTTAAGGCCCGGGCGCAGCGTTTTGATATCGTGTAGTGCCTACATAGCCGTGATGCATAAATTGGACTGTCTCGCTGAAAGAGCGGTGCAGTGGTGCAAGCCCCACAAAACCGAGAAACCAGTTTGCTCGCGCTCGCCGCCGTAGTCGCGCCCTATTAGTCCAATCCGATTCAACCGCTTACCTCTCTTCGCGGTATACGAGGGCCCCGCCTTACTCAGGGATGTCGCGTGGGGCCCCGGGACACCTTGGATGCCGCGTACCGGCTCCACCCGGGACAAGAACAACCCCGTCGTATTCGAAAATCTCCAAATATACCACTCTACATTGCTCCTTTTACGTACTACGATGATGCGTAGAAGCCGTTTTACGCATCAGAATCTATTTCTGTTACGCGGAAATGAGAAAAAAAGGAAAAGTATGGTTTAATATGATGGTTTAAAGTACAGTTTAGTACGATGGTTTAAAGTACAGTTTAGTAATGTAAAGTGACAGTTTAAAAATCTTACCATTTTGAAATATCTTCTTTCTTAGTCTTTTTACTTTAAAACGGGTTTTCCGATGTTTAATTGAAGATGTGAACAAGTTTTTACAAGCTCATCGTGTAAATTCTTCTATCACCGTTGTCGATGCGGGTCTGCCGCGACGGCATTAATTAACGTAGTTAACTGATTATTGTTTCTGTAACCCGAGCTTCGATTTAGGTCATCGTTGCAGCTGAGCCTTGCGAGGAATCACGAAAGAAGGCGATGTATTTTCTATTCTACACAAGACTACAAAAAATACGTAGATTATTATATACTTTGCAAAAAATATGTTCACACTCCGAAAATAACTTGATGTAATTTTTTTGAAGATTACGATACGTTTCAAGTGTTTCACTTATTCGCGATTTATATCAATCAAGAAGTGTAACCGTGATACAGATATAGAAAAGAATTGAAGGACTTGAGTTGCAGCGTTATTTTCCAAACATGAATAATTAACTCGTTAATTAATTTTTTTCATAATACCTTCGTTGCAGAACTTGTAGCGACAAATATAAAACCGCAAACTTCCTTTGCAATAATTATTTTATTTCATTTCAGCTTGTAAAATTCCTTTGTATGATGCAATTGTGCAAAACTCAAAACATGAAAATTCAATCAAACTCGCAAGTATTTTCCTCTATCTGCAATAAACCATCATATTATTCAAACATTTAAGTAAATTGACGAAATTTCGAAACTTTACCAACACAAAAAAGAAAGAGAGAGAGAGAGAGAAAGAAAAAGAGAACGAAATGCAAAACAAGCACGCTTCTTTCTCGTGAGACGAGGCAATGTCAAGGAACCTTGTCTCGTCTGGAACAGAGCAAGGAGAAGAGAGGGGGCTTTCGACAAAACTGCAACGAACCGCGGAGTCAAGAGAGACGGCCGTGAGCGCCCTTCTCTCTGTCTATCTCTAGTCAAGCGAATTTCGTGCGGTGAATTGTGGGCGCGCATACGTGCGTCTGTGACCTCGACGCGTCTCCGCGCGTTCGCGCCTCGCCAAGAGAGAAGAGACGAGAAGAGAAGACGTTCGGCGGTCTCTTCGCGACAGGCGAGACTAGCTTCCACGATGTTACGGCCCTGAATTACGGCTCCTAACCGTAAGCCACCCGTCTGGTCGGGAGCACACACGCACTCCCGCGTCCCTCCGACGGCGCGATCCGACGAAGCGTGAGTGAGAGCGAGAATGCGTCGGCTGGTCGGTCGGTCGGCCGGCCGACTCGCTCGCTCGCTCGCTCGCTTACTCACTCACTCGCACTCGCTCTGCAGAAACCTGTTCAGACTCTCAAACTTTTCTACTTTCTCGGCGATTATTTTTATCTGGTGAGAATCGCACGCACGCAGGCAGGCGAGCAGGCAGACAGGCAAGCAGGCAAGCAGGCCGGCCGGGTGCCGTGTTGCGTTATACCGTGCCGTGCCCGCGCCGATTCTGCCGGAAGCGGGCCCATCCTGAAAACTATCAACGGCCGGCCGGCAGGCCGCGTTCTCGCCACAAAAATTCAATTCTCCTCGAGCACCGTCGTCGCACGCTGTTCTCTCTACCGCGCCTTCCTCTTTCCCCCGTTTCCCGTCTCGTTTCGTTCTCCTTCTTCCTCAATCGTTCACTCGTCCTTCCCGCGTTTCCTCTCTCCCTCCGCCTCTCTTAACCCTCTCCTCACCGTTTTTGTCTCTCTAACTTCCCGCGTTTCCTCCCTGCTTATCTTTGTCACTCGTTCTCCTTGTCACGCTCTCTTTCTCCTTCCCTCCGTCTCCGTCTCGATTCCTCGCGCCGTCCTCGTCGTACCAATCGACCGTCTGCGCCGCGCAGACAATGCACTTTTTTGCACGGCTCTCGCGCGGCCCATTGTCGTGGGAGGCTGAAAATTAAGCAACGCACCGGCGAATCTCTTTCTATCCACGTTTTTCAGAGATTGCGCGTTCGACGTGCCGCGTCGACGATGAGCCATTTGCACGTATTTACGCTATTCGCACATGCGTTTCGCGATGCGTGAGACGCGTGTTGCATTTAGCACTCGGACGGCTGATAAAACCGCGCAACGTTAAGCAGACGCGCTCTCCTCTTCTCAACTCGTTGCGAATTTCGTAGAAAACCAAAATAATAATTATGACGAATGTATTCATACATGTTTCGAAAGAATAACGATTTCGGTGCTTACGATTGCTTATTTCGGCAAATAATAAGTAGAAGTGAAATAAAAATTTTTAACTCACGTGGAATAAAATAAAATGCTTCAAGAACTATCGTATCGTGTCAACATTATCATGAGTTTAGCTTGTGCACTCGAAAAGCAGAACTTGGCATTTTTTGCTCCCCTCGGACAAACAGGTTTCTTTTGCCTCCTGCAAACATTTGCCGAGTTCGGACACATGGTAGTCAGATCTCTTTGTTCTTTTTTTCAGTGTACATATATCGTAAATTTGTAGCAGGAAATCTTATAGGAAAATAAAGTAAATAAAGTAAATAAAAACCTTAATTTGAGTGTACTCAATCATTCTCCAACTTCTAAGTTTATAGCAGCTTTCCGTCAATCAATCCAATTAGGTTATCTCTTTATAGAGCGTTGATCTTTATGGTCATATATATTTTAATATTATCTTCATCTCTCTGTAATAAGCGTATCTCTGAAACATTGAAAACGTTTGATGCAGTAAAAATAAATTTTTATACATAAAAGTTATGTCTACACTTGTTCGTAAAAATTGAAACGCTATGATTGACGTTTAATATATTATTCCATATTTAGAAGCAAAAGTTAAATTTAACGAAACTATATTTGTTTCGATCGCTATCTGGAATTAGTCATCACGGCTCGAATTTCTGCTTTAGTGCGCGGCGATTCGCGATGAATGACTGCGCACGAGGAATGCGTGGCTATTCGTAAAAGTTTTTTTTGTTCATTTTGGGTGGAGAGTCCCACCTAAAGAATTCGAATAACTATTGTCTGTCTTACCGGAAACCGAGCAATTTTAGTCGTTTCACCGAATATTCACATTTATATCTTGTAAAATACAGTCGAAACGTGATCATTATTATTCCATATATTTTAATGAATAAGATGGATAAAAATGATAATGATGTTACATTCTATACAATTATCTGAACCACGTAAAATTAGGAAAATAATTTCAGTTCCAACAAATATTCATTTACAGCTTTCAAAATATCATATCATTGCGACTATTGTTATATATTTTAATAATCTACTAACAAATAAAGATAAATTCAATCATAATTTATAAATAATCTTTATAAAATTAAAAAATAAAAGTCAATATCTAGCATTATTAAAATATGTTTTTCAATCCATCAATATTTAAGAATAACTTGAGACAATTTGATACAGTTACTGCATTTCATGAGTTTGATAAAAATATGTTAAAATAAAAGCATATATTTTTTGTTATACTTTTGTAAAATATTTTTGAAGAATAATCATATCCTGATATCTGAAATACAATCATTTTTACCTCTAATAATTGTGAGTGATACTTTCAACGATTTCGTGATATCGTCGAGTATACACAATGCCTGATACCTCTACAGGTCTATCAATGGAAGACACGCACTGCGAGCACATGTGCGGAGCGCATCGGGCGATGGCAGCTGAGAGCGTACGATGGTCGACGACGACGAGGATTTTTTCCGCGCGACGACAATACTTAATGATCGCCGCCGCGCAGGTTCGGGTTTGTTTCCCACGTTAATATCGGCGATCTCCGCACCACATAGCAGAGTGCAGACAGCGAGGAAGATTTTTCTCAGGAGGTGGGCCCCCCTTCCTCTTCCCCCCCGCAAACCCCCCTCGCAGGAGCCGGCATAAACAGCAGCGGCATTAACGTAGGGGCATCCATGAGCAAAGCAGACCCCCAGCGAGTCTCCGGCGGTGCGGTGTGATGCTGTCTTCTCTTCCTCGCTTCTTCCTTCGCGTAAACTCGTTTGCCGCTGAGAGAAATTCTCCCTTTTTCGCGGATAAATAGGGGTGAACCTGTATTGCAGGACAATAATACCGCACCACCGCCCAGGCGAACAGTCTTGTACAGCGGCGTAGCCCCGGACGAAAGGACGGAGGAGGAGCGCATGAGGGGGAAGCCAGGGGGAAGAGAGAGAGAAGAGGAGGAGCCCAGGTTCCCTCGGGGGGTCGTTGGACCAGGGCGCTATGTGGATTATCATAATAAAGGCCACCTAAATGTTATCTCGTATTAAGTCATACTTTTGTTTTCTTCTTACGCTCTGGGAACTTATGCGCGCGCCGAGTGTAAGGGAAGTGCGCTTTCTTTATTTCCGCGCGACGCACACCCAGTAGTATCCCTCCTGTAGAATCGCACACCCGGACGCGTTGTCGTCTCTAGGTGGTGGGATGAGTCGAATTGCAGGACGCGAGAGATCACCGGGTGGAATCGTAATGAGAATCCAGGAGAGATCTCGCCCTTCAACGCCGGATAATTTTCGATCGGTCTGAAGGTGTTCCTGGACGAAAACCCGTTTCCTTTTTTTTTCCTAGGTTAGCTCGAAGCGCGGGAATTTCGAAGACGTCAAACCTGTTCAAAGTATCGACAGAAAAAGAATTAGAAATGTTCGGTTGAAGACGCAAAAGAATATAGAAAGAAAATGGTCTTTATGTAGGCAGGTATTTGAATAACCCCTAAATAAGATTTTACTTGTCACTCTTATGAATAAATCTCACGATTATAATTTCAATTAGGAAAATGTTTTCTCAGAATGGATAAAATGAGAAAATCATCTATTTTACCCTTCTTTTCACAAAGTTTAATACCATAAAGCTGGGCTTTATGAATAAATTTCACACTTAGTGAACAATTTTGGCGATATTTTTGGAGGTTATTTTGGATGTTATTTTTAACCTATACAAACCTTTAAAAACATTTCCATGTTTGGTTCAATTTGTTTTTTGCAATATAGAATTATGTAAAATTTATTAATAGGAATGATTACCATATTATTATTAGCATACCTTGAATCAAAGTCATTAAAATATCGTTTGTATGAATCATCATTCTTAACAATATCATCATTCTTAACAATGTCGCTCCCCGTACTTGGCAAATTTCATATTCCTACAATCAGAGATTGCTATTTTTTCATAATTGTATTTGTCTTCTTTTCGATACAAACTTGAAATAATGAACACGTATTTTATTGATACAAATAATTATTAACACTGATCAAATTAGAGAGATTCATTCAAATATACGTTACCCATAACCGTTGCCTCATAAATTATAAAATTTCTAGAAGGGACAACTGCAATTGTGCATCGAAGATTAGGGCGCATCCACCTGCGCAACCGCATAATGCATATGCACATGGAAATCGATCAATCATTGTCCAACGTAGAAAATGCTAAATTACTAAATTTTTTTATATCTGCATGTAACGTGATTGATCGATTTTTTTGTCCAACGCATTATGCAGCTATGCAAATTTGTCTGGACAGACCTTTAACATGAAGCGGAACATATCCCCGCGATGACGTCATAACTCGAGAAACGCGCACCGCTCGACTGGGCGTGTTTACTCTGAGCGCTTGTTCGGTGCGATTTAAGTCCCTGTCAGGTAAGAGATCTAGAAATCGATTCTTGAATATAAAATCCAATAAATCTATTTCGTGTACGAAAGAACGTAATGCAAACTTTCATGAATCTAATAGAAACGAGAGAGCACGATAAAAGGGAGGTAAAAGAATGCAAGGTGCACATTGAAGTTGCAAGGAACCCTACGAAGCGCCTATGAAGTACCTTTAGCGATAATATCAGCGATAGCGATCTAAATCGACTCAATTGAAACAGCGCACTTGTCTGCCCGGAGATGGCGATCGTACGCCCCGCGTCGACGCTGATCGTCATCACTGTTTGCTGCCTCCTGCAGAGCATCGTCGTCGTCGGCCAGTACGGATGGCAGCCCCTCGATGCCTTCGATCAGATCCGCATACAGTTGGATCAGGTGAACGAAGAGAACTGTCCGATAAAGAGGCTGGATGATCTGTATCTACCAGAGGACTCGGTGTCGCACCTGCCCGACATCCAGGACATTAACATCAACCCGGTGTTCCCGAATCGTACCGCCCTGCTGCACCTACACAATATGGCGCTCAGCAGGAGCTTTTTCTGGAGTTATATCCTGCAGTCGCGTTTTATTCGGCCAGCGATCAACGACACGTATGACCCGGGCATGATGTACTACTTCCTATCCACGGTGGCGGATGTCTCCTCGAATCCTTACATCAACGCCTCGGCCATTTATTTCGCGCCGAATTCATCCTACTCGCCGTCCTACAGAGGCTTCTTCAACAAGACTTTTCCTAAATTCGGACCACGCACCTATAGAGCAGATGATTTCAATGATCCCATACATTTGGAGAGGATCTCCACCAGGAACACGTTTACTGTGCAGGATTTAGGAGCGTTTTCCAAGGATAGGCTCAGCATGGATTACACCACTGATTTTTATCGTATAAATGACTGGTAGGCGAAATTAATGCTTTGAATATAGAAACTTTTTCACTTACAAATTTTATAGACTTGTCAAAAGGATGTAATTATTTCTATATCGAAAATCGGATTGCAAATTTAATATTATTTTATATATTCGTTGTGTATATTGAGCACAACTACAATACATTATTCCATGAATTATTTTTTTTACAGGTACAAGAAATGGTTGCCGGATAACGTGGAGAAAAGACACGACACTAAGACGACTTATCAGATCGAAATTCGATATGCCAACAATACAAATGAGACATTCACCTTTCACGGTCCACCTGGTAATCAAAGAATTAACGATTCTCCTAAAATCCCACGAATCTCACGTCTGTTTTTCTAATTCTAATTAATCATCCAGGCGCTGATGAATTCCCCGGACCTGTGAAATGGACCAGACCGTACTTCGATTGCGGTCGATCGAATCGATGGCTCGTGGCCGCGGTGTCACCTATAGCAGATATCTATCCGCGGCACACCGGCTACAGACATATCGAATACCCAACGTATGCAATAATAATACAACAAACGTAGTACGTTAGCTCTACAAATTGTATTAATATGTCGACGATCGTTTTAGATATACCGCTATCTCAGTAATGGAAATGGACTTCGACAGGATAGACATAAATCAATGTCCCAAGGGTCAAGGTAATAATGGTCCTAACAGATTCGCCGATACTGCGAGATGTAGAATTGAAACTACAGAGGTGCGCTTGATATAAATTTATCAAACCAATGTTTGTTAATTAATAATTCACTGATACATACGTTGCATACTTTATACGCAGTGCGAGCCGATACACGGCTGGGGATTTAGAAGAGGCGGATATCAGTGTAGGTGTAAACCGGGTCATAGGCTGCCGACCGTCGTGCGACGACCTTACCTCGGAGAGATAATAGAGAGAGCCACGGACGAACAATACTATAATGGCTTCGAATGCTCGAAAATCGGCTGTAAGTATTTTTCATCTCACTGTCGTAAAATCATTCGTATAACGCTGCTTTAACGCGAGAATCTCGTTCAGGGATACACAAGATGCCGGTACAGTGGGAAAAAGCGGATGCCTATCTGAAGGAAAAGTATCTCGAGCAGTTTTATAATTACAAGAATCATTCAACCGGTCCAGCTGCTCTTCACGACTCAAGACTGAACATCGATGAAGCTCTCAAGTTCGTTCTGAATAACGTAACTGAGTATACTTGCCACAAGTACGTAGTATCTTTGTACACGTATTAACTTTGTATATTTCTTGTCAACAAAATAGTTATCGCAGTTTGAACAATTCCTTAATAATTGTGCTTTCAGCTACGCGCCGCAAGATTTGATATTACGCGGCGACATTAGTTTCGGCGCGGAGGAGTTTTACGAGAACGAAGCGAAGATGGCGACCAGATTGGCAAACTTCATCAGCGCGTTCCTGCAAGTGTCCGATCCTATGGAAGTTTACTCTGGCAAGAGAGTGGCCGACAAACCGCTCACGGAGGATCAGATGATAGGGGAGACATTGGCTCTGGTGCTCGGCGATCCGAAGATATGGTCAGCTGGCACCTATTGGGATCGTAATAAATTCACCAACAGAACATACTTCGCCCCGTTTGCCTACAAGACTGTCCTAAACACGCGCAAATTTAAACTCGAGGACTTGGCCAGGCTCAATGGCACAGGTAAAAAGAGGAAGCTTATGCTCAACAAAAAGAAATAGTTCAAAATTAGAATACATTTAAATTTGTGTAACGAGATTTATTCTATCAGAGTGAATTAAATTAATTTCGATTTTATTATTTGCTAACTCGCTACGCACGATTGCAGATGAGATATACACGAAGAAAGGTTACTTCCAAACGTTGAAGCAACGCTGGGCGACAAACTTCGACCAGCTGGAGAAGTTCTACATGAAGATAAAGATTCGATACAATGAGACGGGAGAGTATCTGAGGAAGTACGAGCACTACCCGAATTTTTACAGGTAAAGAACGCTTGTCGCTTATCGTTTGTTAACGCAAAACTCCGTGCCGAGAATGACGACTGTATTTTTATCGATGCGCTCCGATGCGACGATAAAGCACAGCGGAGCATTAAAGTATAAAAGGATTACGTACCCGGAGACTGGGGGGGAATCCGATCTCTAAAGTGCGATTTATTCTAATGTGTGGGAACGCGGCGCATGGGCCGTCTGTGTAGGGCAGCAAACCTGGACCATGGACATTGGACAACTCCGTACTTCGATTGTAACGGCAAAGTGAAGAAATGGATAATTACCTATGCATCCCCGTTTTTCGGCTGGGACAGCTTGAAGGAGAAACTGGAATTCAAGTAAGTGTCCCCGTCGGTGTGCGATCACACGCGGGGTCTACGTATACGTGTGTATGCGTGTCGGAGAAATTCACTGTGAGATACGCGGGCTATAGAGGCGCGGAACCAGTTTCGTAATAAAAAAAGGGGGAAGAGACGAGGAAGATCATATTTAACATTAAGACACTTACAGGGGTGTCGTAGCTGTTTCCATGGACTTGACTAAGATGGACATAAACCAATGCGATGGTGAATTTTACCAACCAAACGCATTCAAAGATACGCACAAGTGCGACAGAAAGACATCATATGTAAGTCGGCATTGTCCTATTGTATCCGGACAATAATGTTACAAATGTCTATTATGTAAATTCGAAAATGTCACAAGAGATGTTTTAGCAGTATCCTTTACAATTTCAAAACACGCTTCCTTCTCTACAATTGATACTTTTACTTATGGATTTACAACTTACGGCTTGGAAAAAATTTATTTCTAATTATCCAATTCCGCAGTGCGTGCCCATTCTTGGGAGAGGATTCGACATAGGTGGATACAAATGCGAGTGCAAGCAGGGATTCGAGTATCCATTTGAAGATTTAATCACATACTATGATGGACAAGTAGTGGAGTCTGAATTTATCAATATTGTTCATGATAAACCGACAAGGTACTCGTAACTTTTTTTTTAACTATCACGCACTCTTTTAATTGCATTGATGTAATAAATGCATTGTGATTTATGAATTTTATATGTTATTCTAGGTACGATATGTTCAAGTGTCGATTGGCTGGTGCTTCGTCAATTCAAATTAGTTGGGTACTGCTGGTATTAGCCCTGACAATATTTTTCCTAATTCGAAGAAGATGAATACGAAATATTTAATACTTCGTAAGAAAAGTGCCTACTACTGCCTTTTTGTATACCAGCAGTTACAATATTCATGCCGTCCATTACAAATGTAAGTTATGTTAGTGTTACTAAAAAAACGAATGATTACGAATCCAATGATTAAATATAATTTCCGCAATTATATTTATATTGAGGCCATCAGCAGCTGTTAATGTTAACAATAATTTCTTATGCATGAAACGATGACCATAATAATTTTTATATTTATATTTTCTCTTTGGTTTCAATTGATTTTATACAAATATATTTACATGAAGATTTTAAACAAATTTTACAATATTGAGATTAATATTTATTGATCGTAATTATACTTAATGAATTAAAGATCTGAATAAATCCGTCCTGTTAGATTATACAATTGAATTTTATTTTAAAATGGTTTTATCACTAGTAGTTCATATGATATAATAACTAAAAGATTCTACAGAAATACAAATTGTTTATTATTATACATTTATTGACAGTTTAGAGTTTTTAAAAGAATAATTAAACACTTTTGCCAAAAGTTATATTCTCAAAATAAGATAATTAATATATATGGAATGGTAATGCTAATATAAATGCATACATAAATCAATGAAATTTATAAAATATTTAAAACACTTGAATAAAGTGTAGTTAGTGCTTTAATATGTACATATATA